TGGTCGTATGTTTTTTTTTTTTTTTTTTTTCTATAAATTGCTGAAGAGACCGGTGTCTATGCGCTTCCCGCAATTACAGCGCTTGAAGACGAATTGGAAGGTCTCTATCCTGCTCCTACCTTTAGGCAAGTTGGACCCTCTTGTGTTCCTGCAGGGTCCCTCTGATGCCCGCCATCACTCCAGCCTTAGCCCTGCCCTTTGATCCCAGAACCTGAAGTTGACCACACCGGCAACCCTCACACCATCGCCGACGAACCCCCCACCTCCCCGTCCACCCTACCATGACCCACCACTGCACATTACTACTCAGCCATAAGATTCCAACATCTCCCATCGCCAAACTTGCAAACTTGCCGTCCGCTCGTGCGCTTGCTCTAGGTTTCCTGAAGAAGTGTGAATCAAAACAGACCCGCTAAACCTTCGATCGCTGCGAACGTGACAGTCCCGATTCAGGGTCCTCCTGATGTTAATTTTGTGGAATGATCGACTCATATGGTCTCAGATTTCTTTAAACCCGGGCTATTTAACATATATTTCAAGTGCTCTGGCAAAATCCGGATGTACGTAAGCTTTCGTAACCCTCACCATATGTTGCGGCTCGGGCTCAATCGAGTAAACGAGCAGTTTCTCATTTGGGCACCGTATTCATCCTCTCTATCCGCAGGTTGTCTCCTACCATCTATTCTGTTGTATTCGATCGGTACGCCGCAAGTAGCATTCCAGAGACTATAGAGAGATCGTATTATTGACAGCGAGACCTTGGTTCCGGGCCGTGCTGATACATGATCACCGGGAAGTTACCAATATTTTCTCAGGAAGGACCTAATAACCAACTGGCGTTAAACAGTCGCCTACTCGACCTAGGTAAACAGGTCTAGCCGAATCAAAGTCTCCTAGTAGCGGAGCCAGGGTGACTACGAAGCCAAGGGCCTGCGGAGTGTGCCATCCTTCGAATCCGAAGCTTCTGCATTGCAGTGCAACCAGGAAACAAACATCTAGTTTTGATAATCTTAAACCGAGAGGGGTCACCATTAGGACAATGCGGACGCAACACCGAACCGGTACTTGGTCGACCCTGGCAAGCATCTAGCTGGGTCCATGCCATGAGCGGGAACCGGACATGTGTTTAAATGGTCTTGATAGAGGGGTAAGCAGCTTGAGCTCAACGCTTAGAAAGGTCAAGTGCTATGCTGGGCTTGTGTATGTCAGGCTCGGTCTCAGGCGATTCAATGCGAGAAGCGCGGCATAGAACATCGCAATGCAATGAATGGTCCGGTCAAACCTGACCTGCGACCATGAGCACCGGGTCATGATAGAGGGGCTGTAGTAGCATAGGGCTATGTGCATAATCATCAATTGCTAACCTGGTCAGCAATGAGCTGCCCGTCAAGGCTTTGCATGCAGAGACTGGTTACCGGGTGTGGTTCTTGCGCCGTCGACAGTTCTGACCATGAATGATACAAACCTCTCCCCTACGGCATTGCAACGACCAGGGAAAGGCAGGACATCAAAACTCAAAAATCAAATTGCCACATCCGCCTTGAGAAGCGACACTAAGATTGGGGGGACCCTGCTCAAGTTGTGAGAAAGGGGCCTTTTTCACCTGCTCCGCTGACCCTAGCATCGCAGTCAAGGTCACAGAGTCTCCAGCCCTCAGAAAGAGGCACCGCACTCGTTACCTCTCCGCCGACGACCGGCCTTGGGCCTGTAGGCCGCCTACACCCGCCAACTGGGTTCACGAGGACAGTTCATACCCCGAATCAGACGAGCGGCTCAACTTGGCCGAGGTGGAGGCAAGGGCGTGTAATGTTGAAATCATGAAGTACCATGTATGCCGTAGCAGGAACATATAGGAAGAACTGAAGCAATTAAGTGTGCGCAACTAGGCCGTCCAATGCCAAAATCTCAGGTCCGACTGTAAGAGTCAGATGCTGAAATGTGTATGGAGGTGCCCGCCCACGCGAAGCCTGGCTTCTTAGTGGCCCCATTTACTGGACTAGCGACCGGGGCAAGGCTGCGGCGCGGACCGTTCAGATTAAACAGCGTCAGGGAGGGAAGAATAAAAAAAAAAAAAAAAAAAATCCGGTTGAAGAGGCAGAGCGTCCGAAAAAACCGCCTGGGTTGAGCTGTGGAAGCCCTCGAACTGCAGTTGAGAGCGTCGCGATCGGGTCTTGGGAGGAAATCTGGTTTACGTAATTCACCAGTCCTCTAATGAGGACTCTTTTCCCCTTCTCTTTGTTGACCTTTCCTAACTTTAAGGAACGTGGCAAGCTTTAACTTTGGCATGTGAGGACTGGTTTCCGATGCTCCGCATCTGAGATAAGGGACAGGGCTTATTGAGTGACGATCCGCTCCCCTGGTAATTCTTAAACTTTCAAAGTTAATCAATATAGTATTCGTGGAGGTAAACTTCGTCGAGGACAATGTGAGTTGGTCGGCCTTACTTATAACGCGGGAGACGATTCGTATTTTTCGTAAGAGGCGTCAGGGTACAGTACGGGCCAATCGAGACAACACGGTCTTGATTTCCCGGATCTCTCTCTAGATTGGACGGTGATAGCTTGGCCATATCAATTCATTTTTGGTGGAATTTTAGGACGAATATTTGTCGAGTTTAGACTGGATAGAAAAGTACGCTCGGTCTCTAGGGCCGTTTTGGAGTGGAACAGTCATCTCGCACAGTAGTAAGAAGCCCAAGATGCCGCCATGCCAAGGCAGCGTCGTTACAAGTGCACAGTGTTTATATATACTGTAGGAGCCGGGTTGAGAGGAGCCACTGTATTCGTATGCTCGAGATGAAGATCCCAAAGATAGAGAGCAGCGTGGAGCAGGCGAGAGAAATCATACTGCTGGGAATAGGGGGCTGAATCAATGGCAGGTGAAATTTTTCTCAGAAAAAAAATGCGATAACAATCTTGACACATGTTCTATTTCATCCCGCATCTGGTCCTTCATCAAATCCTCTTTTCTTTTCTTTTCTATTTTTTCCATTTGATCTTTTTTACATTTGATATCGGTTTCTGGACTCTGTCTCCACTGGTCGCGTGCCCCCAGATTCTAGTATCAATCACACTCGTTTCTCGCAATTACCCTGTCATTGGGTCCCCGACGACTCACGCACATTGATTCTGACCATCTGACCCCCTAGCCGTCAATCATCGTGCACTACTTTCGCAAGTTTCTGGGAGGTCATTAGAGCAACACACGACCGCGACTCGCGACTACACGGCGACACACGACCCCCCTTTGGGCTTCCCCGAATACTGGACCCGTCCGTTCCTTTTTGGCAGCTATTCTTGAATTCTAGAAGCCAGCAATAGTCTCCTTCGACCGTTTAGTCGCTTTCGGCTGCTTTTCCTTCATCCTTGCTCGGTCACTACCTCCCAGCCCGCTCACTAGAGGTCACCTGGTCCGCTCATCTGCAGCCAGCAACGGAGGGAAGCATAAACCCCACGACGAGAGGCACGGCACGTTCATCTTTCCGCCTTCGGAGACTGGGGTCTGCGCACTCATCGACCGCGAACCCGCCTCAAGCGCCAGGATCGTCATCGAGTAATTAGCTCCGGGATCTATTATTGTCCCCTACTTCGTACCTCACACATTACTATCGAGGTTCGCTTGTGAGAAGACAAGCTTGCGGCAGGCCTCTCCGGCAAAGGCGTGTCCTCGTTCTCCAATTTGTTCCCTTCGACACTGACTGCAGCTGCTACATCGTCGAGGGCAATTTGTACTGGCCCTTTTCCGAGACACCCGCCTGACCCCCTTTACTCTACGAAGGTACACTACCAATAGCCAAGGCAACCTCAGCTCCTTCCCCAGACCCAAGTCGGTACATTTGCACTGGACACTGTGTCGCCGCGACTGCAGCACACGGTCTACCTCTGGTCCCTCCCTCCACTGCACTACACTACCTGTGTACACGGCCCGCCCAACATTCCACCTTTCCACCACTGTCACCTTTTGCATGACACTGTAAAACCTTGTACTGTACCGGCCCCACATATCGACAGCCACCCCCCATCACTGCCTGTTGTTGTCGAGTCGAAGGGAGAAGAAAAGCCAAGGCGACTTTGCAGCCCGGACTTGTAAAACTCAAATCGACTACATCTTCTCTATAACCCTCCCCCCTCTCTCTCTCGGCTGTCCCCTCGCATCTTTTGCGGAAAGGTGCTGCTGCTAAACAGCACCATCGCCGCCCAAAATTCCGGACCCAAATTCCAGTCGTCTCCCTTCCAACATACCCCTACGGACCTTACCCTCACGAGAGCACCCGGGCCTAGGTTCACGATCGACGTCATTACTGAGCCCTTCGGGCGATAGAGCCCGCCAACTCTTCCGACGCACCCCCGACAACAGCCCGGTCGGCGACTCCGGCGATATTGCCGAGCAGTTGGCAGACGAGGAAGATCCTCTGCGGCATCGTGTCGTTGACGGGCCTCATGAAGAGCTGCTGAACGGCTATCGGCGGTCCCAAAAGAGAGTCAGGGTCCGAACACCCTCCGACCGCGACTCGTACTCTCCCCATCGAGCCATCGACAAAGAGGCCATCGAAATCCCTAGTGCTGCTCCACGACGAATTCCCCGCGCCGAACGTTTAATCGCTACCATCATGGGTTCCAATCCCATCCACGGCCTTACCGGCCGTCCACTAATGTATGTGTGTGCCAACAGCTATAGCTTCGGTAGCTAGTATCCTGAGCTGCCCTTGTAGCCTGTTACACAGCGACGGCTATCCTCGATCCTGTTCTACTCACAGTGGTCCTTTACTAATTGTTCCACAGCTATTTCACAAGTATTTTTGTATCATTAGGTGTCTTTTTGTTTGGATATGATCAAGGTGTAATGTCGGGTATCATCACGTAAGTCTCCTTTCCCTCCACGACTCGGGCTGACGATTGCAACCAAACCTATCGAGTCGTCCACGGCGCACTGACTCTCTTGGCAGTGGCCCTTTCTTCAATGATTACTTTAATCAACCTTCGAAGGCTCAAATTGGCACCATGGTTGCCATTCTCGAAATCGGTGCCTTTTGCTCGTCCCTCATCGTCGGCCGAGTTGGCGACATTATCGGTCGTCGGAGAACAATTCTATACGGGTCGTGCATCTTTTTCGTCGGCGGTGCCATACAAACTCTCGCCATGACCATGTTCCAGATGATGTTGGGTAGAATCATAGCCGGTTTCGGTGTCGGCATGCTCTCGACCATCGTTCCCGTCTATCAGTCCGAGATCTCGCCTCCCCACAATCGTGGTAAGCTCGCCTGTATCGAGTTTTCCGGCAATATTATCGGCTACGCATCGTCTGTTTGGGTTGACTACTTCTGTGGGTTCATCCAAAGCAACATGTCCTGGCGCATACCGCTATTTATGCAGTGCGTGATGGGTGGTCTTCTTGGCTTGGGCAGCTTGATCATCGTCGAGTCTCCGAGGTACGTAGAACTACTGTCCTTACCAATCTGCTGTTACTAACCCCTCCTTCCCTTATAGATGGCTGCTTGACAATGACCACGACGAAGAAGGCATTGTCGTTATCGCTAATCTGTACGGCGGTGGTGATATCCACAACGCCAAGGCCCGTGACGAATATAGGAACATTAAGATGGACGTTTTGCTGCAACGTCAGGAGGGCGAACGCTCATATGCCGACATGTTCCGCAGGTACCGGACCCGGGTGTTCATTGCCATGTCTGCCCAGGCTCTCGCCCAGCTCAATGGCATCAACGTCATCTCGTACTATGCCCCGTACGTCTTCGAGTCTGCGGGCTGGGTTGGCCACGATGCCATCCTCATGACCGGAATAAACGGCATCACGTACTTCCTGTCAACCATCCCTCCTTGGTACATTGTGGACAAGTGGGGCCGCCGACCCATCCTGCTGAGCGGAGCTGTCGCCATGGTGTTCGCACTTTCGGTAATCGCCTACTACCTTTATCTTGATGTGAAGTCAACACCGACCATGGTTGTTATCTTTGTGATGATCTACAACGCCGCCTTCGGATACTCGTGGGGTCCCATCCCGTGGCTCTACCCGCCGGAGATTCTCCCCTTGAGCATCCGTTCCAAGGGCGCAAGTCTGTCGACCGCCACTAACTGGGCCTTCAACTGGTTCGTGGGTGAAACCACCCCTGTGTTGCAGGAAGCAATCCACTGGCGTCTGTATCTGCTACATGCGTTCTGGTGTGCCGTCAGTTTCGTTGTTGGTAAGTCTAATTCTGCGAGTTTCAAACCGATCTTACTCAAAGCCTAACGTATTTATTTCAATAGTGTACTTCATCTACCCAGAAACGTGCGGTGTCCGCCTCGAGGACATGGATGTCCTATTCGGCGACGCGAGCACCGCTGCAGGGACACCCTCCCTTCGAGCGGAGACCGATTCCCTCATGCCAACAGGCTCTCCCATCGGCTCCGATTACCGCGGTCGCCCCGCCTTCACTCCAGCAAATGCTATTCCCGGTCTAGCGCTGGATGCCCCGGACTTAGATGGCAGCCGACCCAAACCCTCAACATCGCCAGTGGACGGGGGAATTGCTAACTGGCTCTCCAGAGTTGTTAACAGGAGCCGGAGTAGAGCAGGTAGCGGCAGCAGCAGTGGCAGATACGCCCCGATCCGGCAGGGCGAAGACTAGGTTCATTTATCGTTTTAAGGCGCCGGGCTTTGTTCTAAACAAACAAATCTTGCTTTTTTATTTTCCTGCTCTTGCATATAGATGGCGCTAAGTTCCGGGTTTGGAATGGAAAGTTCAGCAATTGTCAGCGACCCAAAATCTAAAAGGGCACTCCTGTCAGAATACAGGGGGTGACTGCTGTGAGATTCCTAGGACGCCTCTCTTTTATAAGAAGCAAGACGGTCGAGCGCAAGGCTACCATTTTTCTTATTGTTCCCCATACTCAGGGTGTATTTCTTAAAGCTGTTTCCATTTCGCCTTTTCATCTTAAACCCGTCTAAATTGGGGGTCGGTCCGTTCGCCATCTTCTGAGATCATGTACATATATAAACGCTTCGCATGATACGCAAATGCTGGGTGCCAAATTTCCGTCATCTGCCCTCCGGTTCCTTATTTAGATTTTTCGATGTGATGTTAAACACCATGATGAGCTTAAATCGAAATTGTCGTCGAGTTGTCATGGTGTTGAGGAAAATGCTTGGTCAAAACCCGCCTTGTTCATGCCTGACCAATCAGGCTCTCGCACAACGGAGTTCAGAGCGGTCCCGAAGCCAAGCTCACCCAGAGTCCCCAAATTTCCATCTTCTCTATCAAAACCCATGACCTGGCGTTATATTCAATGATGGCGACGCAGGAAGTCATCCACGCATACCGCCATCTCTATCGCGGTCTCCTTCACGCCGTCAGATTCTCCGCGCCAGCGCGATACATAGCTCGCGACCAGCTACGCCGGGCATTTCGAGAGCCAGTTACTATATCAACATCAGCTACATCTACTACGACTCGCTCGCCCGTGCTTGACCCGGAAGCGGTAAAACGGACGATATGGTTCCTCCAAGCGGCGGCGAAGGACCGGGGCCTTGAGCATAAGGTGTTGAAGAATTTGCTCAAGGTCGCGATGTTCCGCCACGGAAAGTGGGTGTCGAGGAGGAAGACGTGGAGGACTGTTCAGCTGGAGTTGAGTCAGGGGAAGCCGCAGGATGGACAGGAAAAGTAGGTCATCTTGCTTTCTTTTTTTTTTTTCCTTCCCTCTCTTTCCCCCGGCTGTGGACTGAGTGTCCTTGGGAAGGTTTGGGCGCTAATATGTGTGATGCAGAGAGGAGGAGATTCTGCGAAATTATCTACATTATGATATGACAGTTGCTATGCTGAACAAGACCATGGGTTTGTGCCTCCGTTGAAACTTGGTCGACACGGAGCTGTAGCCCTCAATTGGACCCTACCAGCGTTTCTCCTCGAATCTCGGGAATCTCACTCGGCCCTGTCCGCGGCGGCATCAATTGATTCTCGGGTCAAGCCTGAAGGTTTAGTGGCGAACCATCGAACCGAGTCTAGATCCCCCGAACAACTGATGCAACAACCTATCAGCCCTGCTCGAGGGACCTTTACGCCTTGAGTTTGTGTACATTACACAGCGAGGAGGGTCTGGGTCTTGTGCCTGACTCTCCTAGCGCCATTTGACTGATTTTACTTTCTATGTACATTATGACGGAGACTGGAACCAGATCGATCAAGGCATGTCGAGCTTGACGCAGTGTACACTACATATCATAAAGTGTAGTTTTCCAAATTTAGAGAGAATTGATACCCTTTTTTACGGAATGATATTTGGCCGACCACATTCCCAGACTTGGTCGGCACCGGCGACCTGGAAGTGGTGACGTCCTTGCATGATTCGTGCCTTCAACCGAGGGTACAAGGATACATAGAAAACTCATCAACTTGCTTTTTTTGAGGGAGCTCTAGATTGAATGGGGTTTGGCGGGAAACTGCAAAATCGTGATTTCACCTTTCAGCACCTGCTGGGCAGCAGGACTTGGAAAGGAGGGGCCTGAAACAGTACACTGTTAGTGGCCCTGCACTGTTTTTTCATGTGACGTAGGTGCTGAGGTCACCCACTTCCAGCCATTTCCCCTCCTCCCCCACACAGTAGATTGTTCCTTCCCTAAACTCTGTGTGAGAACCACGAGCTACAGGTTGAGGTACTGCGACATGTAAGTAACTCAAAATCATGAACACTGTCAGGGGGGGTTTAAGTGATTTCTCCAACCTGTAAGACTCAATCGCGGAACACAATGGCAGAGCTTCTCGTCACCATCGGTACATGCTAGGTTTCTGCCCAGGTATTCCTGAGCTCAAAGACATTGGAACCCCGCAAAAAACACATGGTGCTTCTCCATCTTCCCCATCTAGGCATGCTTCGAGATCATCGAAACCTCTCCGGAACATCAATCTGTCAATGGTCGAGCACCACGATATCGAGATCGAACCACATCGGAAACTCGAGGGGTACGAGGTAAAGGGAGCTGCCTAACACACCGAACATCATCCGCCCGGGCGCTCCCCCCAACGTCCCGAAGTTGGCCTTGAGGGGAGTCGTATCCCAAGTCGATCAAAGTCAAAAACATCACCACCACCACACTGTGCTGGGTCTATCTGCATCAGAACTCGAAACGCTTCCCGACCGAAGACGGTTGTACGACGAACGCCATAGGGCCAGCGGCAATTCGACTAGGAAACTTATCACGAAACGCGCTGCCGTATAGCTCGCCCCGTTCAGCTGGGTAGCTCCGCGCCGTGCCTGAGCTCGGATCGTTTATAGAGTCGCCGATATGTTCCCGACAATACTCTATCGTTCCGAACCATGCCTGAAAACGGGGGACGCCAGGGGGCCGCGAGGAGGTTTGCGATGCATTATCGCACAGAGATAGCTGCTAGTGGAGCCAGTGTCATCTCGACCCTCGCCGCGTTTCCTCTCGACAGCGTGAAGACCCGCATGCAAACATACCAATACAATGGCGTCATAGATTGTATACGACACACCTACCGAACCGAGCACTTGAGAGGCTTTTTCCGAGGTATGTTGTACTCGAGTTTCTCAATGGCTTCCCGGAGTGGATCAAGATGGCAGAGTACTGATCTGTTTTCTCTTTCTTCTAGGCGTTGTTGCGCCAATGGCCAGCGTTACACTCGTTCGAACTATATCCTTCTCAATCTATGTACGATCGAAATACGAATATGCCAAATGGATTAACAAGACATTTGGCGTCGACGTCGTGTCCCGCACCAGCGACAAGGCCAAATATCCCAATATCTACTCTTGTGCCTGCTTTGCAGCTGCGGGGGCTACCGCCGGCTCTTTCATCACCATTCTTGCCTGTCCATTCGAATTGACCAAGCTAAGTGCTCAGGTCTCGGTTCTACTTGCGCAGACCAAATCAAAGGATATGTGTAGTCAACGCCAAGCCGTCGCCGCGAGTTATCAAAACAAGGGCACCTTGAAGACCATGGCTACGATTATAAAGCACAGGGGCTTCATGGGCCTATACACCGGCTTCAATCTTCATCTGAGTGAGTCTTTTTTTGCCGGCCTATGTAGACCGTGGGTAGCACCTGCTAACGCGGTTCAAGTGCGCGATACCCTTGGTACTGCGATATACTTTGCGGTGTATGAGAGTAGTAAGCAGCTCGGCACGTCCTTGGGAGGAGAGCATCCATACGCTCGCAAACTGTCCGTGCTGATGTCAGGAGGCCTTTGCGGCATCGTCTCCTGGGCGGCGATTTGTAAGTGGGCTCAAGACAGTGGATATTTTCGAGGCGTTCTAATCGTACTGCTGCAGATCCAATTGACTCTGTAAAGAGTATCTATCAGAAAAACTCACTTCTGTATTCGAAGGGCCAGAAGGTAGAGCCACGACCGAAGATTGAATGGCTCAAGCGAGACATGTATCGCGGCTTGGGTGTATCCATGGGCCGCTCATGTGCCGTGAATGCGATTTTCTTCTCATCCTTTGAGTTTATCAAGAACAGCATAAAGGCGTTGGAGGAGACACCTCCCTGATTTGTCGATAACACATTTTGGAACGACTTCCGGACGTGAACATGGACGTTGTTTCTTGTTTCATGCATGTTTGTTTCCCGAGAGGGGATAGGGAGTTAGAGGCAAGGCATTTGCATTTCTCGCCAGGACTGCTGGCAGCGAAAACGACAGAAAGGAAGAAAAAAAAGAAGAGGAATAGCTCTGGCCATGGTCTTTTTCAAGAGGGCAGAGTATAGGTTGGCATGTTTTCTTCATGTTTGTGTATGCAAGGGGGAATACGGATCTCATCTGGAACTGGTCATGACACGGTATATGCATCTCGAAGACAGAGCCATACTAAAGCTGAATAAAGACTTCCCCGAGAGGGTCACAAATACAACGTATAACGGCAGCGACTTTGTTGGAAGACTCGATGATCTTCAACATCTTGAATCTCCCATGCTCACAATTGCAGGCTGCCTCGATTAGTCATCATCAACACGAAGCCAAGACACAATTGGATTGTGGGGAAATAATAACAACCAATTGTAAACCGCGAAGGCCAAAGTGTCCAATGACTTGCACCTTCCGGTGGCGGCTCCATGCACGTGATGGTGGCGCCCTGTTCCTGCCTGATTGCGACCTAATAGCCGCAGGGCGACCAAAGTTGGCCATGATTTTTCTCTTCCTTCCAACTTGCAAACCATACTTCGTACACAACAGCTTCACAGTAGTTGCTACTGCAAGCGAGTCTGGACATTCGCATCAAAGCCGTGACAACGGTGCATCGCGTGAAAATCCCATCGTCAAAGACACGATCTGTTGGTGTTTTCATCCCGGAAGACATCATCGAACTGTGCCGAGTAGACTTTTCGTTTTCCTTTCGCGCATCTTGATCAATCCACCTCTCCCAATCGGGCACCACCAGGCACCCGTCCTCGCGGGTTGTGCTTGTAGCGACTCTTCTTTGAGACGGCTCTCTCCCGTTTTCTGGTACACTAGATTTACCTTGTCCTTGGAACACGAGAACATCCAAGCCGACGGTGATCTTATGTGCTTGTATTTCGGCAGAGTTTGTCGTACTTTGACCACTCTGGAATAACCCCCTCTCTCCGAAGAAAGGGGTCGTGTTTTCCCTGTTTATTTTCTTTTATTTGTTTCCTGTTTGTACCTGCGGAGTATTTCGTGGCCCACGATGTTTCGATAGGCTCGTTCAAAGATCGGGAAGAAATTACGCAAAAAAGACATGGAAAAAGGGAAGAAGAAAAAGCCCGCAGCTGTCGGCGATGCTCGCGACAAGCTGAAAAAGGCACACAAGCCGGGCTATGATCGAACCAAGCCGCCGCTGCCAGTGCTGGTTGCTAAAGACCCCCCTCCACAGCCTAAACTAAAACACCAGACATATTTTGAACTAGTTGAGAATACGGACAGGAAGAAGCAACTCGAATTCAAGGTATCGAATAATTGCCGGACCAAGAAACTTCTAAAAAGGCGAAGCCGCCCTTTCTAACTGACTCTGATGATATGCAGATCACCACAGAGACGACGCCCCCACCAGGCTACACATTTCTTCCGATTGTAGGCAACTCGGACCTGACGGCCTTGTGTAAGGATCTGTCAAGGGAACAGGATGCCATGATCTTTATGGTCTCGGTTAGTCTTTTGTCTTCTCAAGGATATGAGGAGAGATAACTCCTTCCGTTGGTTCCGACATCTTTTCCACCCACCCACAAACTAACCCAGTGTTCCACTTTTCCAGACATCAAGAAAAGAAGATGCCAGCGAGCTTTCTCTACACACCTGCCGTACTGGGCATCACTTCCGCGAAGCCATTGTTGAAGAGGCTAGCGCGAAGCTAGGCGACCGCCTTACAGGCCTCGTCCCGGCCAACCATGGTATTCCGGAACCGATCCCCGAAACCCAAGAAGAGATTAATGCGCAGGCCGACGCCGCTCTCCGAGAGCTATTTCCAAGAATACCGAACACGGACCGTCAAGAAATTATCGATCATGCTTTCAGAAAGGTAGGCTCTAGGTATTGTGGTATTGTCTAATAGTTCTCGCTTACACTACTTCCGTGATAGGGGAAAATATCCAATGGCAGCCCTGTAGTCGGCCTTTGCGCCGAGCTAACACTATCCCGCCGAGTTCAACTTGCGGTTCTTGCCCATATTCGACACAGACATACTCGGTATGATTCCCTGTTGAGGGAAACTACCTGGGAGCATGCCAGGAGAACCGTCGAGGCAGTCTGCCTTGATGTAATCGTCAAGTGGCGAGGCGACGAAGAGAATGGCCGGGATCAGCTTGACACGATTCTACGTGAAGTTGTTGTCATCTCTGACTCGGAGGATGATGATGAAGAAGAATCCGAAGAGGATTCAGATGTGCCAGTCGTTGTTTCCCCTCCAGGTGCTGAACCCGCGCGTGTGGCGATCAATGCCGTCGAGGGGCCAGAGGCCGCTCTGGCGGCTTCCCTGGCCATCAATGTCAGACCTCAGAGCCGAGACCACACGGCTGCACCTGTTAAGCCAGCGATGCCAAAGGTGCCAACCACGCCCCTTAGGACTAAAGGTAATGCGCGCCTTAGCAAGCGTGCCCGTAAAGCGGCCAAGAAGGCGCAACGAGGCTTTAGCCGATACCAAGCTGCCTGGGACCAGGCCATGGAGCGGAGACGCCACGAAGAAGTGCCCGGGCACCCACCCCAGGGTACGCCGTTGGCCAGATCTACTAGCAATGGGCGGTTGCCCCCGACATCTCTGGATTATAGTCCAGCCTACTCCCCGTATGCTGCCCACCCTACCCGGGCAAACAATGAAGTGATTTATCTCGGACCCGCAAGGAGCTTGGGGCCTGCTAACGCTAATGCGCCCACCTTTGAACGACGCCCAGCGGCGCTCGAGGCCGCCGGGTATAGTCCGAGCGCTCGGGGCTCGCGTGCCGTCTACCGAGAAGAAGCTCAGGCGAGATCCACGGAGGTGATGACCCGCAGCTATACAAATGCCGCGTTTCCCGCACAGAAGCAACCGGAGCCGCGATACAAAGATTTGCTGGTCCGATCTATTGAGACGCCCAATCCCACACCTGTTTCTATGACCCCGCGGTTTGTCCGTGCCTTGCCTCCCCGCAAGCATGCCCGTGACGAAAGCCCGGATGAATACCAGGCGAGGGAATATCCACCAGCTCAATCCTACGGTTCCAGTGCCCCTGTGGACATCATCCAGGACCACCACTTGAAGCGGCGCCGTGTGATTAGCGATCACGACGGCATTCCAACCGCAGCCCCCGGCGTGTATCCACAAGATGACCACTCCCGCTACCCTCCTGAACCTGCTCACCGCGTAATCCAAGCTCGTTACCCCCCATCTTACGCGACTTTGGATCGTGAGCCTCAGATGAGAGAGCAAGCACCAGCCAGGCCCACGTTCTATGAGATTCGGTCTGAGCGTGGTGCAGCCAGAGATCAGCCGGTTGTTGTTCATCATTCTGGCGCAACTCTGCGATATGCCGATGAGCTTGTTGAAGTTCGTCGTGCAGTTCCTGAGGTTCGCCAGTACGCTGGGCATCGCATCGCTGCGACTGGGGAACGAACAGTTCTCAGGCATCCCTCTGGTATGGGAGCGGCTCCCGGCCGTCCTTACTACGAGGACCCAGGATATCGACCTAGCCATAGTGATCCTTCTCAGGCGCCAAGGGTATCGATGCAGCCCATCTTCGTGAGACCTGTAGACCGGCAGCCCTCCGAGTCATCACGTCCCCAGGATCCTATCTATTCACACCAGGAGATAGTCCGGGCAGCACCTGAGCCACGGCGCCTCGGCCAGGAGGTTTATGCGCCTCCCCCACATCAGATAGAACCGTAAGTATCGCGTTCGAACCCGGTAATCTCTTCCTTTTGATTAAGAGCCTATACTCACTCCGGGATAGGTATTACGGTGACCCTCGACAGCCCCATTTGGCGGCTCCCCAACAGCCTAGCAACCTCCCCATTCGACCCCAAATTCAACCCCACGAACTTGTTCGCGTGGGACCCCCTGCCCAGCAACCTACGCGGTTATCATACCCCCATCACAGTCGACCTGTAGCTCCTAGGGATATCATTGTCCTTGATTAGGGAAAACAACCCCACCGCCATTCTCGTATATATTATGTCTCACCAACATTTTCTCTTCCGCATTACGACTTACTCGGACTTCGGTACATACAGGCAAGGCGTTTAAGATGCATAGAGGCTTCGGCATGTCATATTCTGACTGGAGGAGGAGCATTCAACCTGATACCCATCTTGGCGGAGGCATTAGTGTATTTCACAGCATTGTTTCGGAGTATATGTTCGTCGGTTCGCATTAGCTATGGACTGGTGGTAATATTATTTTTGCATTCCCTCTCTTATTAGAAGTGGAGAACTCGAAGTGATTTCTCCGTGACGCAGACAGGCAGGCTGGGATGGCTCGGCCAGGCTCCCCTCGAAGTAGAAAATTCAAGAATATAGACTGAGTGATTCTGTATCTACCAGGCATTGGCCAGATAATAGAATCTCGTAGATCGTATTCTGGTGACCTGATGACGCGGTCGAATCTTATTGTGCAACCAAACAATACCTTGTCTTCGATGTTCTCTTTCATGTGATAATTCGAGTCTTGGTGGGGCATTTAAAGACAGCTGTTGACAACTGTTACATAAAGCTACACTTGCTTCGGATGGTTTGTGTGCGTCATCTGGTACGTCGACAATTTGCCCCTCAGTGGAAAGGTCAAGGATGTTGCAGCCTGCCACCGTTATCACGCAGGGTGGGCGTCAAGTTTGAGAAGCAAGGGACGCATCTTCATCTTCCAAAAAAAGAAAGGGAGAAACCCACTCCAACCTTGAAGAAACTCTAGCCGATATTCCTTTACCCGATTAGGACAGATTAATTTCATTCCCCTTGTTGGGAAAAAAAAGAAAACCGAGAAGAAGAGCTGACAAGCAAGGAATATGTCGGGACCAGCTGAAACGGTGAGTGCCCGGCTCCGCGAGGACCCAATTCATGCACGCCATTCCCGCCTTGTCCCACAGACAACAGCAGCCCAGCTAACGTCTTCCCTTTCTTCTCCTCTTCTTCTCGCAATACAGGATAAATCTACCGCAACCATGCCAGAGTCGCCGACCACGGCTCGGCCCTTTGAGCTCGACGACGACGATGGCCAGGAGTCGGGAATCGTGCAAGACCCTGCCGCGGCGGGGAAGACGGATAATAACAGCAAGGCCACGCCGGGGGATGGCGGCGCACCAGGGGTTGCTGCAGCTTCCTCGACCGCCGGTGGCGCTACGGACGACGTGCCCCCTCCGAAGCCTCCGCGGCCGTTGACGGAGGCGCAGAAGAATGAGCTTATCCTTAAGGAAGCTTTCCCCACGGTTGATGATAGTGTTATCAAGGCGGTTTTGCGGGCCAGCCGCGGCCAGGTTGAGCCTGCTTTCCATGCACTCCTTGGTAAGTTGTCTTGTATTTTGCGCGGGATATCTATCACGCCCCCTTTTGGCACTTTCGCCTTTCTACCCCGAAAGGTTGTAGCTAATGATGAGGGCGAATATTACAGAAATGACGGATCCAGATGCCGTCAAGGACGACGAGCCCGAGGAAACGCCCCCTCCGCAACCACCTAGGCCCGCAGGCGTCGGCAGTGGCCTGACGCAACTTGAGGCCGACGAGCAGTACGCGCGCCAACTCGCTGAGCATTACGAGAGGGTGGGAGCCTACGACGAACAGCACTCTCGACACCAGCACACTCGGCAGCAGCCGCGGGACCCCCGGCGGAACCGCCAACCGCAGCAACAGGGGCAGCAGCATCACGAGACGGGGCTCAAGCCTAACGAGCTGTACGACGACAGGGAGCACAGCTTCATTGACGACGACCTGCCTGTGATACGCGAGAACTTGAAGAAGGGATTCATCGAGACGCAGACGAAGGTGAATTCGTGGATCACGAACATCAAGAAGAAGATCGACGATGCTTTTGAGGAGGATGAGCAGGCGCGCCAGCAGCACCTTGCCTACGGGAGGAGGCCTGGAGAGGCGAGTCGGAGGAGTGGAGATTATGATCGCTACGATGCTGACCCGCAGGTGATTACGGATGATTTTGCTGGCATGAAGCTAGCGGCAGATGGAAGTACGTAGCCCTACCTTTTTCTGTGGCTTTTGAAAACGTGGGTCTAACCGTCAGGTACAGCTCCTATCCGCGACCCCAGGCCGCTCGCGAATCCCAACCTCTTCAAGCCTCCTCCTCCATCCAAGTCTCCCAAGCCCAACGATGGCCGTAGGGTAGCGTTCAAGGAGGACACGGAGGAAATCGACGTATACACGTCGTCCCCCAAGCTCGGAGCTCGGGACTCAGCCACACCTCCCGGCAACAAGCAGAGCAAGTGGCAGCCGCTCTCGACGGTGGAGCCCAGCCCCATCACGGACAATGATCCCTTCAGTCTCGGAGATAGTGAGGATGAGAAGGATGTCAAGGACAAGACGTCGACGACGGGTGCTGGCGCCGGATCTTCGAGCTCGAAGGATGCTAGCAAGGATGATGATGCTGAGAGACTGAGGAAGGCTGCGGCCGAGGCTATGGCTGATAGTCTTGTGGATTCGAAGGATGCGGGCTCTAAGAGCTAGATGGAGGGAAAGGGGATTGTATGGAATGGGTAATTTCTTTCTCTTTCTCTTTCTCTACTTCTTCACTTCTCTTTTGGCAGAGAGGGAAAGAATGCTACGGGAGGCATGTATTTCGTAGTGGGGACGAAATGAGCGTGGGGTGCAAAAGGAGCCAAAGTTGAAATCACGAAACAGGGCCCTGGAAACGTGATCAGGTCTGTCCCATTAACGCACACACATACGGTACACTGTCCGGCAGATATGCTTAAACCAATATAGCGGAGTCCATTCACAAAGACGGAAGAACCCGGCCATACCAATGAGTCGTGAAACAGTCATGAGAACGAAACATACCTGACTCGGCGTGATGAATCGGGTGTTGATCGAGTGTATTATCCGACCACCTTTTCGTCACTCACTTTATACGCGCAAAGAGCTGAGAAAAAGGTCTTGGCCCCCAAGCTTCCTTGATCCCGGTTATGTGGGAAGTGTGTACTTCGTACTCCGTACAAGTTCCGCTTGAAGAAACACACTACATGGAAATAAGATGCGCACGTGGTCAAACAAGGGGATGGGAGGGAAGCTAGGCGCAGCTGTATAGGTTCTGAGCTAGGATGGGATTTGGACAATACCCCGAGCGAGGTCGGCTTTTAGCCTTTGACGTCGCCAAAGATGGAGCCCGAGATGCAAACCGTACATGACGAGGTTGTAGAATTGGGGTGGGAGGGGGGTAGATATATGCTTGCGGCTCCGCAGTATGCGGTTTTGGCATTTCTTTTGGCGTGTAAGTAAATCGTAGCAATTGTTCACGAAACGAAAAAGCGAAGATCATCTTGAGGGGCGGAGAATGTTCGGAATGTGAGATCGTACGGCATTGAGATATTTACCTGTCTTCTAACAGCTTCAAGGAAACGCAGCAGCAGTAGTTCGTAAACTACTAGGCGTCTTGCTCGTAGCATTCTCCTCGCAGCACTCGGCTCCGCTCAACGACTTCGATAATAGTAGAAAGCCCCGCTTCATGTCGCTTCGCTCTGGCGCCGTGGGGAGCTAGGGTATCCGAGGAATCGAATTGCAATCAAAAAGCAAAAGACTGAGGAAGACCAGTTTTCTAGAAGTCTGTGCTTCGACAGGTCTAACCTCCATTGTACACTGCAACGCATATTACGGGTCGACCATATCCAAACCACAACCAATGGCCTCGGAGGTTAATCCAAGCGAGAAAAAGAATTGGGAAAAAAAAAAAGAGTGAGCTTTGAGCATGGGATGGACACGGCATGCGAGGACATGTGTTCCAACCTCCAAGCGTTTTTTCAAAAACTTTAGTTCGCAGAAACATTTCAGTTCTTTTGGGACCATGCATGATGGAGAAGCAAGAGACGTAGCTTTACATATATCCTCAGCCTCGTCCGTAGCGTGTCGATGGAGCACGAGGTCGAATTCGAGAATGTAATTGGATGGCAGCCTGCAGTTCTAGACTTGTCTTTCTCCCTCCCTTCTTGCTGCTTTTGGTTCGTCTGGCTACGTGCAGTGGTTGGAAAAAGGGATCTAAATTCTTCGACGAAGGAGAGATCGAGGGGTGGGGAACGGCACATGAAGCTAGACCTGGATAGGCATCGCGGGGCATGTTGGTGGGATATTCCGGGTGTGGTAGAGCTGCAACCTGACGTTTGACAAGAGTGGTACGGAGGGTTAAGTTTTTGGGGCTGGGCGACTTGTCTCCAGGACATTTGGGGGAACCGGGCGGTTCATTGTGTCTTGTCTTGCCCCTCGTCCATTGAGGCTGTCTTGTGTCGGCTTGCGACGTGTGCGGTTAGGTCTCCAACTTCGTAGGGTTGCAATGCAGTGCAGTGCACCTTACCATCGATGGGCACCAGGACCCAGAGAAACTCGAAAGATTCAATTTGAAATTGGAACGGGCAAGACGCGGAGTGAAGAGAAAGGTGGAGTGGTCCTTAAGATTTGGGTTTGGGGAAACATTGGACCGAGACCCGGAATGGACGGGGAGGACGGGGGGATCCAGGTCATTTTCTTGGCAAAGACCTACCGAACGAGTCGGCTTGGAGGAAAGAAGCTCTAATGTCTGGTGATCAGAAATAGCCGGGCCTTAAGTCGTGAATGAAGTTAGTGACATAGACCGTGAAATGCAGATGAGAAGCTTGTTATTGCACGATTTTACCCTTGTTGGGAAAGGCAAGAGGGCACGTTGGGAGAAGATCAACAAGAAGCAGCTTGGGGCACACGACACAGACATGTAAATTGCGCTAGATCAGGGCACGAGGGAGTCGGGTCAGGGAAGATTACTTGCGTCGTCTCATCGTCGGCGGATGAAGGGTCGTTTATACCTGGGCGAGGACCGCCGGTGGAGATCGTGAGAGACAGTGAAATCGTCTGTCCGACCTACCCCTGTTGCGGGACGTCCTGGGGTCTATCTTCACCTATTAGAATGTCCGTTGGCTGTTATCCACAAGTCCGTCGAGGCGTCTGTCCAGGGAGTGCATGGAGACTGAGGTTTGTATCTGGCGATACATCTGCGACTTGGCCAGCTATTCCATATGTCCATTGAGTTTTCCTGCCGCAAAGAACGGACGGTATACTTCGGATGAGGTAGTGACCACGCCTTGCTTTAACGTGGCCAGACCATTAACCATGCGCGTGGGAGTTCTGGCGAGAAGCGAGCCTATATTTCGTATGTTGGAGACACGCCAGGTACAATTGTGTCGAGGTTCCTCAGCTCGAAGGGGTCAAGACTAACACGATGCAGACGCCTCGACGGGGAATTGAGGTCAGTCAGTGTAAGCGAGGGGAACGGACGAATTACCTAATTTGAAGAACCGCTCCCAGTCTTGTAAGTATTGAGAACCGTCAAGGTGTTGGTTAGTGTTGAATATTGGCTAGGACGAAGTACAGCCATGTCGAATACGCTATTTAAAGTTGTCACCAGGCGTGTGAACCCTCATGTTAGACCCGATCTAAATTGAATTTGATATTTGATATTGGAACCAGGAAGGCACATGGATGGACAGAAGAACCCAGGACCCTCATCAGTGATTTGAGGCGTGTGGAACGCCTGGACCGGGTGGGAACATTGATGGAGCCAGCAATAGAACATCGAATACTACCGCAAACCACCAACGCGCTGTCCTGGGCTTCTGAACTACAAAGTACTTTCTCGTGTACCTCGTAGATCGGTGACAGTTGAAACTTGACCCTCTAGTCCCCTCCAACGACACTACTATTTGACGCCAGGCAGGATCAACCAAGTTCTAAAGCTAAATCGACTTGATGCCTTGGAGATGGGGACCTTTTATAGTGCACGAAGTAGCTCACAAAGTAGTCCACGAAGTAGTTGTACATTATTCGTAGCGTGTCGATAGTTTGAAATCAATATAATTACTTCGTTACGTGCTTCGATATATACTTCGTTATCTACTTCGTTGTATACTTCGTTTTATACAAGTACATTGATACAAGTAACTTCGAGGTTCAGTGGTGTTGGTACAGTGGTGCAGTAAACGCCAAGGGCGGAAGGAACGACACAGCGCCCCTCCCCCTCCCTCCCTCTCGCCAGGAAAAAAAAAAAAAAAAACCCCTAGTCGTTTCCGATCAAGCTCGTCATCCCATCAATGGCCCAGCCAGCTCACCCCGCCTAATGCCGACACACATGCGCCTGTCTCTGCGACTGTGAGCTTACACTGCGACTTGCGCTCTCATCTTAGGGCGATATCTCGTCGCAACCATCCATCGTGTGTGAATCGCCCGCCCCCTGCGCCGACCTGTTTACTTTTAGACTTGCTTCGTACTCTCGCGAATCTTCTCTAACTTCCGGCTGAGCTTGCGCTAAGCTTCTTTGCGACGACCCCACCGTCCCTGCAGATTCGGCCTATTACCGTTACCGCCAACAGCTCAAAGCGCTTCATTTTTCTTTATGAACCAGTGCGACCGAGCTTCCACATTCACATACCGAAGCCACTTTTTCGGCCTGCTCGACTTTCTTTTCCAGTCCACTTCCATTCCATCCTGGTCCGCAGAACCGTTCGACCTGCGTCTGAACGAACCATTTTGCCAGATTCTTCTCTAGCCCAGCTGGTCGAGTTTGCCTTGGTGAGCTCGCCGTGGTTCCCCCATAGAGGGACCGACCTGCGAACTGTGCAGCTCGAATTCTCGCACCGGAGTCACTCCCCCGGACACTTGCGGCCGCTTGATCGTTGCATCGGTCTCTCGATTCTCATTTCCCCTCCATTGTTGATATCGTCATTGACATTGAGGGTCTCCGCCGGTCACTTGTAAGTGCTGCCCGATCTCTTTCAAACCAACACCCATCTCTCTAAATCCCCTCCCTCTGCACTATTCCCAGCGCCGTCTCATGCCTTCTCATCAGAAGTTGAGCTCGGTTTTTCGTCGAGACTCTAGGAGGACCCCGTCGTCTCTTGTTGTTATGAGATCTTTTTCGTTCGAGCATCGGTTGCTAAGCTTCGTCTCCTCTCAGCTTTGACTCACACTTCGTTCGATCTTGACACACACGCGAGGATGGAGTTGCTTCCTCACTCGCTTGTTTAACAGCATCAACTTCCATTGCAGTTAGTCGAGTCTCCCCCTCTCTGCTTGCCTCCCCACCCTGTCTACCTCTTCTCTGTTTCCCTTCTCCCGTTCTTTTGTCTCTCCCCCTGTTGTCGGATTACCTCGGGGTGCATGGATACTTGGGCATCTTTCATCTCCACAAGCAAGATTCCCTACACCCCACTCACTCACACGCCCCTTCACTTCCACCCCATGGGATGCGCCATAGGTTTCCCCAACCTACCTGTACCCGTTCTCTCGTCACTCTCTGCTGATGAGGTAGCGATGCTTCTTGTACTTGGCCCCCCAATTCCATCAAGTAACCGACCTCGTGGAAACCACCCCCCACACACCCTGCCGCAGCATTGGGCCATATTGGAGGGAAGTAACCTCTATTTAGTGAAATCCACACGCCCTTCATACGGCCCGGCGACCTCTTCCGCCTTCATATTAGTTACTCTCTTCCAAGTACTAGCCCTTCCTTGAGGAACATTGCTTCTACCAGTCCTCCCCTCTCTTTCACGCTATCTTTTTTATCTTATCCTATCCTGCGATACACTCTTTTTGACATCATCTAACCGGTTCCTATCTTGTTTTACCAACGGCAGATCTACCTCATCACGTTCAGGATTCTTGAGGCAAGAGGGCAACCACACCTGTTTTGTCACCTGCAGTCAATCTGCAACCCCGGCAAGGTATTGTAGCCCTACGAGCAGCCCGCACCACACCACGTGCCATCGACTCGACACAGCCGTGGTGTTCATTGCAAAAGCACGCATCTCTTGCAGACGCTACCTCCTTCATCTCATACCCAGTTACACCCGGCCAACCCCCTCCTTCACTGTCAATCCTGAGCATCTGTCTACGAAACTCTAACCAGCAACTTGCTTGCTCCCCCTGCTAACCTGCATTACCGCCCCGGCAACTTAGCCGCCCGTGTCTCCGCCTTCCTATTACCTTTTTTGTCACACCCGAGAGGTATCGACCTTTCGGTGGTATCCTCCGTCAGCCTCTATTAGACAGTTTTAACAACGTCTGTGGGGCCTAGAGGCCACAAATCCTGCAAAATGTACTATTGATCCCTCTCACCAGAAATACACCAAACATAGAACCGTCCGTCGATCATGGATGTAGCTAATGCCAGTTTAGGAAGTTTGGCAAGCATATTCAAAAGCGCCAGCTTGAGGTGCCCGAGTACGCTGCCAGTTTCGTCAACTACAAGGCACTCAAAAAGGTATGACCGCCTCCCCTGCTCGGCCCAGCCCAGCGTTCCGCCCCAATACCCAATATTCCCCCCCTGTCCCCTCTCCCTCCTTCGATCCCCCCGCCTTATGACCTAATACGCTGGTGGCATTGCTGAGTCCCGACCTTTTGTGGGATCGTGTGATGTGACTCGCCACAGTCCTGTATACCCTTGTTGTCTCCCGTGCTTCACCTGGCACCTATCGTAGGGATGAAATGGCTGGGCCAAAAGCAAGGTCTGCCCAAGCAGACCTAACCCTGGCTTTCCGTGGCCAAAGGAGTCTCCTCTTGTGGTCAAGAGACCCATATGACTGACGCAGTTGCTAACAACGCCACCCTGATACGCAGCTCATCAAGAAATTGTCAGCGACACCGACTTTGAGTACCCTCAATGATTTCCAACGACCCTCCACACCCCTCGATCCCCAGGCCGCGCTCCAAGCGAATAAGGCTACCTTCTTCTTCCAGCTGGTATGATAATGCAACCATAGATGACGACCATGAGCTCTATACCGGACGGTGTACTTACACTCGAGCAGGAACGGGAGCTTGAGAAGGTCAATGCGTTTTACTTGCAAAAAGAAGCAGAGGTATGTGTGCCGAATGTTAACCCATATTTCCTCTTCGCTATATCGTCTGCTTTGTTTTTGTGTCGTATTACGGTGCGGCATGGCTAACTGGGCAATGGATGGTGTAGCTCAAAGTTCGGTTAAAGACTCTGCTCGACAAGAAGAAGGCATTACAATCTCGCCCTCCTGGAAACGCCCGACGATCTGCCAAGTTTGCCGCCCTCGAGGAGGGCTTCCAACAGTTCGCGACCGATTTGAACAAACTGCAGCAGTTTGTTGAGGTCAATGGCACAGCGTTCTCCAAGATTCTAAAGAAGTGGGACAAGACATCCAAGTCGAAGACGAAAGAGCTTTACCTTTCAAGAGCTGTTGAAGTTCAGCCTTTCTTTAACCCGACTGTTATAAGCGAGCTTTCTGATCAAGCAACGACCAGCTTACAAGAGCTTGGTGCCTGGGCCGAAGGTGACCATGTCGGTCTCGATACCCGACCCGAGCACGTCGTCACAAGTCAACATATTCCTGGTACCGACGATGGCGATGTCGACTTTATCCTCCTCGATACCACCATCACCGGCAATGTCGAGTCGCTCAAGGACTTGTTGACACGGATGAAGGCTACTAACGATGAATCAGGAGGTGATGGCATCACTCTTGGTGACCGCGTGACGCGGACTTTCCTAGCCGCTATCCACGAAGCGCCCGAGAATGCGTTAAGCGTCCTTCTCGAGTCCGGGTTGGTTGACATCCAGTCCGAGGATGACATCAATGAAAGGAATTGCCTTCACCAGGCCGCTATCTACGGGAAGCCGTTTGTCCTCATGTACGGCTTGTCCAAGGGTGTTGCGGCGGATCGAACCGACGTCTATGGAAGGGTTCCTCTGCATTATGCCAGCATGCACGGATGGTTGGATATGCTGGATGCTCTATTACAAGGTGAGTACAGTAGTAGTGGCACATCAGAGTTCTCGGGGACGGCAAGAAATGATGGCGGAGGTTGTGATCTGTAATCGATTCGAAGGGGGGAATTCCATTCTAACATACCGCCGACATAGCCAATCCCCAAACTCTGGACTTGAAAGACCACGACAATTTCACGCCGTTGTTGCATGCCATCATCCATGACCGATTCGAGTGCGTGTCGAGACTCATCTCAAAGTCGGCGCGTCTTGATGCCGTGTCCGAGACGGATCATGTACCTTTGAATCTTGCCTGCGAGCGAGGATCGCTGCGAGTGGTGGAATTGCTACTCGGGAATGGTGCCAAGATTGTTCCCGATGCCGAAGGCCTATACCCCCAGCACCTCGTCGCTCGGTCTGTCCGGACGCCAAAGTTGCTTGGGCTACTTAAGCAGTATGGTGCGAACCTCGACCAGGTCGACAAGCTTTATGGATGGACGCCCTTGGTTCATGCAGCTAGCGAAGGCAATGTCCCGTGCCTCGAGGCACTCTTAGAAGCTGGCGCGGATGCCAATATTGTGGACGAAAAGGGTCTCCCTGCCGTCTACTACGCTGCGTGGGAGGGACATCTAACATGCATGAAGCTCTTAACGCCATACAACCAACGAGCGAGGGCGAGTCCGTTGATGCGACAACCATCCTCTCAGTTTAGCGGCCTGGGAAGTAGCAGTGCTCCTGCGCCCATGTCGCTAGATACCGACGCGATTCCCGCCCTCGAGCTTCCGCCTCCGATTATTCCTCTCAGAAGATACGGCCACAACTTTTTGGATACAAAGACTGTTGTGCAACTCAGCTTTGATGAGACCGATGAGCCTGCGATGGTATTTTTCCACGACGGCAAGTATCCCGCCGCTCGCCTCACCATTTCGTCTAAGGTTTCCGACCTCATTCCCAAGAATATTATGCTCCCTTTCCAAGAAGATACCCGACTCGTCTCTTTCCAAGTTGACAATCTCGACACTTTCACGCTTGATTTCGATGTTTTCCCTACTTACGGCGCCAAGGTTATCGGAAAGACAGTAGCGTTACCCAGCACTTTCCGCGGAAGTCATGCCAGCTCGGGAACCGTCTGCCTGCCACTCTTCGATCCCCGGCTTCGTGCGATTGGTCAAATTAGCTTCAGTACGCAAGTTATTAAGCCGTTCCAAGGACAGACTCTCGAGATTACGGATTTCGAGACGTACTGGAAGGCCACGAGTCAATTCGAAGAGCACCAGAGCACTTTCGTTACCGGATCTAGTCTTACAGGCGACTATGTTAGACTCTACGTGCAGTATACGAGCGAGGGAACACCTGTCCTATGGCCGACCTGGACCATCACTTGCGGCGCATTGGATGTCCCTATTTGCCGGCTCACGCTTGAGCAATTCGATGCCCTCACCAGCGAGAGCCCTGCGCGGAAGGTTGTTGCGGCGTTGCCCTCGCGGCCTCTGGACGAAATTTCCGAGGTGCACCGAATCCTGGCGACAGCCGGCATAAGGCTAGTCGACGCGCTTCCACTGATCCCCCACGGCATGCACGTTAACATCCACATCCTCTACCCAACCGACGATGAAGCGAAGCGATGGAATCTCGGCCCCGCGCTAGATCTCAACACTTTCGCCGACTCGATCCTCTCCATCGTCTTTGACCACGCCAGGGCCCAGCGCGCGCACTCGCCTGATATTGTGCGGTCGATGGTGTTCAGCTCGTACAACGCGAGCCTCTGCACGGCGCTGAATTGGAAGCAGCCTAACTTCCCGGTCTTCCTGTGCAATGAGCTCGGCCGGGAGGATGAAAGCATGCCGGCGCCCAATGTCATCCAGAGTAGCGGCAGGGGTACGTTGTCGGTTAAGGAGGCGGTGCGAATTGCTACGAGCAACAATCTTATGGGTCTTATCTGCTGCTCTCGCCTACTGGTATGTAAAACTCTCTCTTTCTCTGTGGTTCTCACCGTCTCGGCGGATATTATCTGGTGTGTTTTCCCAATATACTGACAAGATTCGACAGGACATGGTCCCCGCCCTCATCGACTCGATCAAATCCCACGGCCTTGCCCTCGTTATGGACATGTCCGGGTCATCAAACGTGCCGGGCCCGTTCGCGGATCCTTTCCCGCGACTACCGGAGGGAGTTGACGGAGCGTTGAAGAACTACGGGGTTTTGCGATTTACCGAGTCCATAGACATTTGAGCAACGATGACGAACAAGCGGAGAAGGCGGTTGGGGGGGGGGGGGGGGGGGGGTAGGAAGGGTGGAAAACAAAAGGAAGGTGTGGTGGTGCTTTGATTTTGATATTGTTCTTTGGCCTTTTACTTGGTTCTTTCTGCCTAGCATTTCCTTTTCCCGGTTCTCTCTTCTCTTTTTATTTTTTCTTTTTATTGTTTATTAATGACATGAAGACAACATTGTACCTCGGGTTTTAGTTCGGGGTTGCGGGAGGCGAGAGAGATGGTCGGCTGGCTGATGGAGGATATGGAGTGAGAATAATAAGGTTGGGTATATTCATAAGGAACGCCGTATATAGACAGCAGACCGCACAAAACTCTAGCGAAAAGCAAGCCTTCAATGCGATAGGGTAACATGAATCGCAAGACAAGTATTAAAATGTTCTGAAAGTGGAAAATATAAGCGGTTTCAAAAGGGAAGGCCCCTAGGCGCCCTTGTAATCATACTTGAGCGCCCTCAGCTCACTCTCAGGATCCACGCCCGCCATGACAGCCTTCGCCGCTACCACGAGCCCATAGACGAGAGCAGGCAGCCAAGCCAGCGACAATGGTAGTCGATCATTCACGAGGCCCGAGAGAGCGAGCACACCCGCCAGCGCGATGTTGAGGTAAGGCAACCAGATCAAGAGGGGAGATTTCCCATTCTCGCCCATCAGCGAAAGGTCCAGATCGCGAAAAACCCCCGGTCGAACCTGGATCTGCGTTCTTCTTCCTCTTCTGCTCGTCGTTGACTCTAGTGTGGGAGTTGGCTTGGAAGAAGAGGCGGCCCAGGCGTTTAAGGCGGGAAACCCCGTATCTTGGGGCTTGAGGACGTATAGAAGGAAGAAGGTCGCCAGGAGGGATTTTATGGCGAGGAGGCGGGTTAGGAGGGGGAGGTTTGGGGTGAGGAGGTAGGGGGTTATGGAGAGGAGGGGGAGGGTGGTGAGGAGGGTTGTGTAGGTTGTGTTTTGGGATGTGTTCTTTGTTGAGAGGGTTTGGATCAGGGTTTCTTGTTCTTTTAGGGGGGGAAGAGGAGAGGGGAAGTCAGCCGGCGTTTGGTTTTGAAGATGGCTGTTGAAGGGGGGGGGGGGGAGGGAAACTTGCCTTGTTCGTCGATGGCGGAGGGGAGGGAGTCGTCGTCTGAGTCGTGGCGGGTGAAGGGCCGGCGGAGACGGGCTGTTACGGATTCGGAGGTCATGGTTTTTTTGGGGGGGTATTTGAGCCCTCTATTAAAGTGGAGTATAAGTGTATCTGATATTTGGGTTGAGATGGATGTTTATTAGATGAGATGTTGGAGCTTTGGATTATTGGTTTGGAGATGTGTGGTTGAGCTTCGAGCTTGAGCTGTGCCTGTTCGATGACGACGATATCGACAAGGTACCCTTGGCACAGTGGATTTTGACTAATGCCTAAAAATGCACTGTTGGGGTAGGATAAAACTTGTGGCGGTGTGGCTATGAAGCTGTGGCTTAAAATTAACACACACATCCAAGTGATGGCAGATGGCACAATGCCCGGAAAAGTTGCAAAGCTGCACAGGCGACACTTCCGCTCTCTTTCAGTGGGCTGACTTTTTTCCGGTCAAAGAGATTTCTTGACGACAAGATCAAACGGCAACAGCCCCTACTCAAGCGGGGAATCGCAGTCCTTCGTTTTTCTAAAATCCCCCAATTGACCCTCCAGCCATGTTCCACCGGGTCGTCCAGAGGAGACTCCTCGTCTCCGCCCTGCGGAACCAGCAGACGCCCCTGCGTAACGCGGCGCGGACCCAACGGCGCTGGCTCACCCCGGCCCCCAAAGCAGGCGAGACTTTGATGGAGCGCCGAGCCGATCGTGAACTCCCAGGTCCGTCTCAACTACAAGGAAAAAAATGACATTCTTTTTACTAAATATTTCCCTCTAGACGTCAAATCCGTAACCTTCCGGTGGTTCCCAACCCTCCCCATCTTCCTCGGCATCGTTGCCCTCTCCTCCTTCGCAATCTTCAACTACCAAAAATCCTCCTCCTCCGTCGTCTCCTCCACCCTCTACGCCCTTCGAACCTCGGAACGCGCGCGCCAGCTCCTCGGCGACGAGATCTACTTTAAGGACCGCATCCCCTGGATCAAGGGCGAGATGAACCAGATGCACGGTCGCATCAACATCAGCTTCAAGGTCAAGGGCAGTAAAGGGACGGGTACCATGACATTTAGGAGCTTTAGGCCCGGGCCGAAGCAGCTTTTCGAGACGGAGGAGTGGAGTCTGGTGCTGGATGGGGAGGAGGGGAAGAAGATTGATTTGTTGGATGGGGAGGATCCGTTTAGGGCTATTCCCGGGGCGCATATGTTGAGCGAGGATGAGGAGTTGGATATTGCGAGCGGGTTGAGGCAGTCGACTGTGAGAAGGGCTGCTTGAGGGGGTTGTTCGGGGGGTAGCAGCACAGAGTCGTTGAGAGACGAAGGAATTTGGTCAGTTATGGAGAGGGAGGGAAGAGATGTTGGTTGTGGAGATGGATCATTGAAAAATGTTTGATTATAGAAACAATACCCCCATACTTCATTTTCATTTTCCCACAACTTCCTCCTTCTAGAATAGATGTACAACAGTGTATAGTTACAAGAGATGCTCCTCAACACATCCACACGCAGGAAAAGGTATACATGACATATCTCCGAGAAAGGAGCGGCTGCCCCTTTAAGCAAGGCCAGCCTCAGCCTCCTGTCGAGCAATAGCCTTCTCGAAGGCCACCTTCTGCCTCTGCTCCTTGAGCTCAAGATGCCTCTTCCTCGCGTCCTCCACCACTTCCTCGACACCAGCATTCCTCTCCAACACCATCTTGTTTATCGCAGCCCTCCTCGCATCAGTAAGATCCTTCTTCTTGATCGAATCCTGAATCTTGACGACACAGCCCTTGGGGCCGGGCACACCGCCATGCACGACGACGATGCCAAGGTCATTATCGACCTGGAGCACCTTGAGGTTCTGCACGGTAGCCTGGTTACCGCCCATCCGACCAGGCATCTTCTTGCCGGGGTGAATCCTCGAACCCGAACCCTGCGAGGCGCCCACGGAACCCAGCGTCCGGTGATTCTTCGAGTTACCGTGACTGGCCGGCTGACCAGCAAATCCCCACCTCTTCATGACACCGGCGAAGCCCATACCCCTCGTATTCGCCCTCACGTCGACATACTGACCCTTGGCAAACCAATCCGGCCAAAGTTGCACGCCAACAGGCAACAACCCTTCCTCATTCTTCACCTTAAACTCAGCAAGATGCCTCTTCGGCGCAATTCCCTTCGCCTCGTAGTACCCCAACTGCGCATTCGTCACATTATCGGGCTTCTTAGCACCCATACCGATCTGCACGGCCCAGTACCCGTTCTGCTGACGCGTCCGGTTCGCCACGACCTGCACGCGATCCAGCTGCAGCACCGTGCAGGGAATCCTCTTCTTGCCCTGGTACACGGCGCTCATTCCCTTCTTGATGGCGAGGACGCCCGTCCGCGGCGGCGTCGTGGCCTCCTTGCGCTGGAGGGCGGCGGCGGGTCCCGTTGTGAGCGGGGGTAGGCCCGAGGTGACTTGGCGGAAGCGGGCGTGCTTGTTGCGTTTGGGGGAGGTGTTCCAGCCGTATTGGACGCCGCGGGTCGTCGTGCGTGGGAGGAGGCGGAGGGGGAGGGAGAAGGTGGATTTCGGGGGGAGTTGGAGGGAGGATGGGGGTGGGAGGCGGACCCCGAGGGTCAGTCGGGGCGCCATTGTTGTGAGATGTTCGGTTTTGTTTGCTTCGTTTGAATTAATTCCTTCGTTTCATTCGGATTGATATGGTGGGACTCGGAGGATATTGTCGTTGGTGGGTAAGATGCTCGTCGATGGAAGCAGAGCTTTGGTGCTGCTGGATCTCATGAGAGGCTTTGAGATTTTTTTGCTGTTGCTTCAATTGGGTCAAAGTGAGGCTGGTGCACGTGTTGGAAGCGGACAAGCCACATGTGGCTGTGGGTATCTTACACAGTGTGATTAACCATCATCACGCACCTTACGAAGAGCTTCACCCCGATGTTCACAGCTTGACTGTCCTGCTCACTTCTACAAGTGCCATTTTCATTTTCACACTCAAAACTCACATTCATCTTAATACTCGCCTTACCCTCTTCTACCCCCTAAAACCCGCTCCCCCTCCCTCCCCCACCAATCCCATACCCCATCTTATTCACCCCAACGCCCTTCACCTCATGATCACTCGGGTTCGCCGCCGCCTCATACAAGATATTCGCCGGCGCCCTCCCCAGCTGCATCCACTCGCCCTTGAACCCAACATACGCGATCCTCGAAACGTCCTCCTCACCCTCGCTAAAGTTGTCGACGAAGAAGAGTGACAGCCGGCGCACCTTGCCGAAGAGGGCGCGCTTGACGGGCAGCTCCTGGACGTCGGAGGTGAGCGAGAGCTCGAAGGTCTGGGTGGCTTCGGCTTCTTCGGCGGTGGAGAAGTCGAGCTTGTCGCGGTTGACGAAGACTTTGAGGGTTTTGGGGGCGGAGGGGGAGTTGGAGGTGCGTAGGGAGATGGAGTGGAGTTTCACTTGGCCGGTGAAGCTGAATTGGGGGGTTAGTTTCTTGTTAAGAGTGCTGTGTAGTCCGACTGGATTTGCAAATGACGTGAGAGAAAAAAATGGGTAGTCTACGTACGGCACATTCATAATGAGTTGTTCGTCGGCGTCGCTTTCGAGCTCGGGTTCATTATTGAGCCTCTCCGCCCACGTCTTCTTCACGACGTCGCGGCCCATACCAAACCGCGCCTCATTAAACGTAACGATCTCGTCAAAGTTGATGTGTTGGTAGAGCGAGAATTGCAGCGCCGGCGTAATGTCGTCCGAGTGGTCGTGTGCGCCGTGGTCGTGGCCATGGCCTCCATGGTCGTGGTGCTCGTCGTGACAGTGGTGGGACATTTTGGGGCGGGGAGACGGTAACTTTGTTTAGTGTGATTTACCTTCGCGTTATCGATGGATATTTGTTCTCTGAGAGTGTGAGGATGCGAGTAAATTGTAGGCTCAAGGCTCGATTGGGGCTATTCGAAATGTGCTGTGGCGATTTGATTGTTGAAAGTGGGATGAAGTCTTGAGAGGGAAGGGAAGGTGGGGTGCATTAATGCAGCTGCCGGATTTAAAGCGTCATCGTCTCACTAACAAATTCTCCAGCGAAGACGACGACGACGACGACGACGACTTGAGCACGGCAGCAACCGCCAGTTTCTAATGTCCTGACATCAAACATATTCCATTAATTCTGCACACTTAAATACTAAAGTTTGATTCTAGACTGTCAATGCCCGGCGTCTTGTTCGAATGGCCCCGTGCTCACGAAGCCACTCCGCAAAGACAGAGTCACCACATCTTTCAGCCAGCTCAAGAGCCGTCTCACCAGACTCCATCCGCGCGTTTATGTCCGCCCCCTTCTCAAGAAGTACCATACCGAAACTAATCCTTTCAGCGTCCGCAATCTCCGTGACGGGATTCATCACCGGTCTTCCCTTCACGAGCGCCATAAGAGCGGTTCCAGACACCGGGGATTGGGCATTCACATCGGCGCCCGCCTCGAGCAACATTACCACGACATCTATATTGCGGCCCGCCACTGCCGCAATCAGTGCAGTCCCGAAACCGCCCCTAGCAATCGTGTTTGCATCTCCCCCCCGATGAAGAAGAAACCATCCACCTGCAGCACCTCCTGGATAACATGCCGCCGCCAACGGCGTGCCATACGACTCTCCCAAATCCCTATTAACATCTGCCCCAGAATTGAGAAGTAGTTGCGTTGCTCCAACTGATCCACGGTAGGATGCTGCTATAAGTGCAGTTTCGTAGTCCCCCTTAGCACACGCATTAACATCTGCCCCAGAATCAAGAAGTAGCTGCATTGCTTCAATTGATCCGTTAACAGATGCTGCTATAAGTGCAGTTTCGTAGGCCCCCTCAGCACACATATTAGTATCGGCCCCGGAATCAAGAAGTAGCTGCACAGCTTCAATTGATCCGTTAGCAGATGCCGCTATAAGTGCAGTTCCATGTCTTCTGTAACCACCATCGACGCGCATGTTAACATCTGCCCCAGCATTGAGAAGTAACTGCATAGCTCCAACTAATCCGCAGGAAGACGCCGCAATCAGCGCAGTTCCGTTGCTACCCTTAGCACACATATTAACATCTGCCCCATAATCAAGAAGCAGCTGAATAGCCTCAATTGATCCATGATTAGATGCTGCTGCTATCAGCGCAGTTCCGTGGATCCCGGCGTGTATGTTAACATCTGCCCCATGGGCGAGAAGTAGCTGCATAGCTTTAATAGATCCTTGGCGAGATGCCCTTATCAGAGCGGTTCCGTTAAACCCCTCGTCGCGTATATCAACGTCTGCCCCGGAATCGAGAAGTACCTTCATAACTCCAACTGATTCACTTCTAGATGCTGCCATTAGCGCAGTTCCGTAATGCCGCACGCGTGCGTTGACGTCTGCCCCATTCTCAACAAGCAACTGTATTATTTTCGTGTCGTTTGACGTTACGGCAGTGATCAAGACCGTCGGGAAAGGATCCATATCAGTCACTACATTCACTCTTGCGCCCTCTTCGAGAAGGAGCCGGACCACTTCCCTATGGCCGCCCAGGGCTGCAGCGCTTAGCGGATACCCACATTCTCCGCCAAACTGATTAATTAGAGACCGGGGTTGAGGTTCCAATTCTTGACAACTAGATCCGCTGCCGAGAAGACTTTTCAGAACTGGATATAGGCCAAAGCCGGCGAGGTAATACAGAGGCGACTCGAGATTCGTGAAACCATTCCTTACTGGACGTTTGAAATCAGCTGTAAGAATATCGTATGTCAACAGCTTTCTCCAGGTGTGGAATGACGGGGGCCGGAAAAAGAATCGTATGACGAGGTCACAGAGCTGACCAGCTTGGTCCCCATCAGCGGCTTTGCGATAATGTTCCGGCCAATAATTGGCGGCGTACCTCGTAAACGGGGGTTCTGATTTCCAGTAGCTGGTCGTCTCCGTGTTAAAAGGGCCACTTGAAATATCAGATTGCTCATCCTGCGTGGAACTGGCAAGCTCGGCCGAATGTATCGCTTTGATAATGCTCGGGTCCATTAAGTAGTGGAGGCAGACTCTTGCAACATCGCCATGCACTTTAGGGATATTGATGTGAAAATCTGAAGCGGCGTGCCGTTTTATCCTGTCCGATACCAGATATTCCATGACCGAGAAATGAGCGAGACGGACTAAGCAGTGGCTAACTCCCCAGCCCTCGAAGCGATGCTCGCTTTCCCAGCCCTCCAGGTAAACCTCAATCATACCGGGACATATCGTACGCAGGTCGTCCTCATCATGCAACCGCCGTAGCTCGTTAAACCCCGGTTCGGGATCCAAGTCCACAGCGAGGGCATCAAGTAGCTCCTCGACATCCATAGGCTCCACTGCGCAGCATAAGATGGAAAGAAGTCTTTTCGAATCCTCGCGGACCGTTTCGTCTATGTCCGCCAGAATCCGTTCGTATGTAGCATCTAGAGTCGGAGGCAGAGATTCGAGGAACTTTGACACGTGGTGTTGACTTCGTGGACAGGACTTGAGCGCGAGAAGTTGGAACTCCACCCAGCGAAATCTAGTTTATCACTTAGTCTATGTTCTCCATACTCGTTCTCTCTTTATTTTTCCTTTTGAGAAGTTACTTACACTCCGTTTGAGTGGCTCGATAGAAACTCTTCAATTTGGGTATGGAACGGGCGAAGCTTTTGGAGATAAGGGGTTTTGGCCAGTTTCTCATGGATGTAATGGGCAATGTCTTCATCAACAGATTCATTTTGCATGGGAATGACTTCATAGGCCGACATATTGCATGCATGATCGCTGAAGTCGAGCGCATAACGAATGTCTTCTTCGTCGCGACTCGTCACCAGAACGTGGAGGTCTTCTATAAGCCAGTTGCGAATGTCCGATAGAGTTTCGAGGACTTCGTCACGATTAGTATGACGAGGACTTTCATCCAAGGCGTCGATGGCGATAAAAACCCGCCGATACTTCTGGATGAGCGACTTGAGGCAGCCTTTGAGTTTGTCATTTGTTGGTGGTCGACAGTTGCACTCATTGTGGAGATAGGATAGCAGCGAATAGTCCCGCATTTGCTGAGAGAGTTGCAGAGCAAGTGAGCGAAGCATTGCAGCGGCGTCCTGTTTGGCATCATCGGCAAAAGTGAAGAAGAAGTACGCTACTCCTACTTCGAGCGGAGCCGAATCTCGAACATCGAGGAGATGCGCGATGCATGTTGAGCATATAACAGACTTTCCGCAGCCGGCAAACCCTCGAAGCCAGAGGAAGGAGTTATTATCAGCCTTCCAAGATTTGAAGGCATCACCATTTATGAGCCATGAGCCAGTAGAAGGGTGTGCCTGGCTCGCAAGCCGCTGATAATCCTCTGATGGCTCCGGGGCTTTTAACCATTTACGGAGCTCGGAGATTTTCTGCATATCTTCGGTCCTCATCTGAAGATTCTTCATCTGATCGACGGTCGCCTGGACGTCATCTATCTTGCTTTCTACACGAGCTTCGTGGCGTCTCATTAAAAATTGCAGGGCGAGGCTAGCCTTTGTGAAGATTTGATCAATCTCCTCCGAGATACTCATCAGCTTTTCCCGCCGAATGGGGTACGTGAAGCGTCGAAAGGCATCACGGACTCCAGCGAGCCTCGCATCCATTCCCCTGATTACCGCGGGATTACGCTGCGTTGATCCCGACACCTGAGCGGTTACATCGTTGCCAAATATTTCTGCAAATCTCTTCTCCAACGTATCCTTGTGCTCCGAGCAGCCTTTGATAAGTGAGTCAACACGCGCGAGGGCGGCGGCATCGAGTGGTGGTGACGAGTTGCATTCCAGCTCCACGAACTGTTCGTCTAAGTCGTCGAGAATAGGCCGGAGTTGTTCGATTTTCTTCTTCGTGGACTCGAGATCGGAGGCCTGGTCTTTGAAATTCGAGCGATATCTGCGAACGAGGCAACTGACCTGGGCGACAAATGTTGTGAGGCCGGCTATGCTGGCGGCGATGGAAAGAGGGTCCGCCATTTGAGAGGGGTTATCAATTAAGGAGATTGAAGGACAAGCAGAGGTGGAAATACAGATATAAAGATGCAAGAATGGAGGAGGAAACGACTAAGTTGAGACTTTGTGAGGGGGAGGCTTCGTGGCTTCGCCCCCTCCAAGCCTTCATTGTGGTAGCCAATAACATAAACGCCTTTGCACGCCAGGCTGCATGAAGCTGTTCCAGCCAGCCTTCTGCTTCTGCTTCGGCTCTCCATAGGTACCTTGTACATGTAATAGTAAATCAGACCGCCTTGTCAATTCATCACTTAATTCCGCCCTTCTTCTTCTTCTTCTTTGCCAGCCTCCGCTGCCCAAACGCACCACTAACAGGCTGCGACATCGTAAACCCCAACCCCAACCCCAGCCCACCCACCTGGCTACTCGACGCCTCCCCCTCCCTCGGCCGAAACGGAATCGTAGCCTGGCTAAAAATAGGCGGCGCCGCCTGCGACGACTGCGGCACCTGCGTCTGCGCGAGTAACGGCGGCAGCATCTGCGACGAGGCCGGAACCTGGCTGGCATCGCTGCGTCCCACGAGCCGGCTGTACTTTTCCTCCTTCGCGCGGCGCCTCTCGGCCGCTTTTTCCTGCCTCCTGCGGAGTTGCCCTTCTCTCTCGGCGGCGCCTATCTGGATGAAGGGGATGTAGTCTTCTTGGCCTGCCTCTTCCCATCGGGAGAGGACGGAGTGCTGGGGCTTTTTGGCGAGCTTGGTGTCCGGGTCGATAGAGGCCGCGAGGTGGGCGAGGCGGCGGATGGCGGCGCTGCTGTCTTCTCTTTGGGGGGAGGCGGACTTTTCGCGGCGTTTACTTGAGGAGAGGAATCCTTGGGACATTACTTCCTGGGAGAAAATGGGGCGGGACCATTCAGATGGTAGGTCCTGCGAGGAGCTGGGGACGGCTATAGAAGAGGGTGGGATAGAGGAGTCTGTGGCTATGTGAGGTTGGTATGACTCGTCCATGCCTACGAGATGATATGAGAGAAGCTCTAGCCGCGCTAGGTGCTCCAAGACCTCTTGTCGCATATTTGCAGCCTCGCGCAACTCGTCACCCTGAGGGATCGGCCACTTTTTCACCATCCACCGTTTCATGGCGAACAACTTTTCCTTAATATTGTCGTCGGCTCGCCATGGAGGGTTAGGATGGTTGTCGGTGAGCGTAAGAATACCTATTCCGGATCGCACTAAGTTGTCGAGTTCGTCAATCCACTCGGCATCGCTTTGTAGATAAGCAGGGTCCTCCCCTAGCGCTTGGGCGTCCTCGAGATCCCAAAGCTCATTTGTGTGCTCCAGCACGGATTTTGTCGGGACATCGCCGGTCGCCGTAGCCGTGCTAATAACGTGACGGAGAGCGCTGAGGGACCGAAGGCGTAGTTGCCGTCCGCACTCCCATATCTCAGAGCTGTAAGCTTCCAGGAATAGCTCGGAGCGGATATCTCTCTTAATGATAGCCTTCCGAGTAATGGCTGGCAACGGCTCAAACTCAAGTACGCCTCCGACAAGTTCTGCATCCGGCTGCACGAATATCTCGGGTATTACCATAGCATCGGGCACCACAAATTTCTCTCCCATGTAATTCACGTACCTCACCCTTCTTTTAGCGAGGCTAGCTTGCTGTGTGTTCTGCCATTTCTCAGGCCGGGTCATGGGTGCTGGGATCTCATCTAGGCTGCCGTTGACAGTCACGCAGACCCAGTAACCCAAGCTCTGCCGTCTTCCGAAAGACAGGACTTGATGGAACTGGACCTCGGAGTCATCGAATAGCGATTCCCTCTCGGAACTGATCTTTGTTTTCTTTCTCGAAGTGGCAAGAGGCAGCACTGTGAGAGTGCGAAGATCGTCAAGCTCCGTGCTGTCTTCTCCACGAAGGTGCTGCAGTTGATACGAAAACTGCCCCGGGCTAGATGCATCGGGTGTCTCGTGGAGCCAGAAGATGCTCAGTCGCGGTGTCCTGCTGGAAAAGATAGCAATCATAATGTTCCCGCCATCACCGACAGTAGGCATACAAGTCGCGGAGAGCTGAAGCGTGCGGTCACCGGGATGCTCATGGTGTAATGACCGGATAATTTCAGGTTCCACCTCGCGAGCTACTTCTCCTGATGGACAAATATCGAGGCAGATCAAAGAAGTGGTAGTGAGAACAAAAGCGTGACTGGGGTCCGCAGGGTTCGGTACTACTCTCAAGATTTTTTCTTGGCTAGGTGAGCGTGCCGTGATTGGAACGATTGAAAAGATAATGCCGGTCTTGGTATCTAGAAGTTGGATAGTGGTACGGTTCCACATCAATAGCGTGGTAGACCGTGTCACGGAAACGACACCGTCTATACCAATATTGTCTGTGAGGTGGCTTTCCGACTGTTGTGCAAAGTCCCATTCCTCTGAAGGCGGCGGGTGATACCAGAGGATGCCAAAGTCAGAGCGAAGAGGGAAAGTGTCCCACGATGGACACCCACGTTTATATAGAGTAGCTCTAGGCTCTTGCCTACTCGAAACGAGCGTGGTTTTGATGTTCCAAATGCTCCAATAGCCACGATTGTCGATAATTGCAATTTGAGGTAGCGAAGTAGACGTGGGGGGGTTGAAGGAGATATCGGTATGCGCGCGACCTTTAGTGTGGTCGAGGGAGAGCGTTAAGATGGGGTTAGGATCAATCCGAGAGGCGGGCAGCTCCTCAAGAGCAGCATCTTTGTATGCCACAGGCACCGCATGATAATTCGGACTCAGAATCGTCGTCGAGGTCTCCTTTTGGACAATCAACCAGCGTAGGGCGCCTGTCCGAGTTACATGATGAGCGAACTTGATGTGGGTAATCGGCGTTGCGTCCCTACACCAGTACGATTCGTCCTCCTGGTCTCCTGGTTTCAAATCCCACATGTTGAGAGTCATGTCGTCTTCTGGCTCCCAGGTCCAGGGCGAATTCGTTAGCCGGAGGACGCGTAGAATCTGACCGCCTTCTCCTGTCGACATGGCCAAAACTGGCACGGGCTTTATCGATTGTAGCGAAACACTGACATCCGTAATTTCACCGGCCACCACTTGCGGGTTGTAGGATGGGATGTCGCCAGTGAGTGTCAGATCGTACGCCGCCTCTTTCAACAGGTCCGGATAGACGGGATTCCCAAGCACCGCCTCCGGGAAGGCATTTTCCAGCCAGCGTTCCTGGGTACGTCTTTCGTCATATCCCAGCTTCACTTCCCCGATATCAGAGCTCTTTGGCGAAGGGGCTACTGCCTCGTAGTTGCGGACCACGCGAAATTTCGGGGCTGTTAGGAGTCAGTTTTGTTCCGTTTGATATACCCTACCCGTTCACGTACTGTCGCTGAGCTTTCGACCCTCAGGGGTCTCAATACCACCGTCTCCCCCGTCGTGTGATGAGGATAGCAAAGAATCAGTGTGCCCAAAGGGCGATAGGGATCGAATTTGGTCAGTCATTGGGACTGGAAGGCGCCATGTAGACCTCACGCTGATGGTACTGATTTCGAATGAAGGTCATGTCGTTGGAGATTGAGGATTTCAAAATATCATAGTTGGGCAACTCGGCGTGTTCGGGTATCGACAGATGTTCGGTGTTGGGACCCGGTGCATAAATTCCGTTTCATCTGAATCTCATTGTACGAAGTAGATTTTGCGTGCGAAATTGTGAACGAAACTTTCTCACCGAGACAAGCCAAAAGTCCGGTGTAAAAATGACCGACGTCACGTCACGATATTCTTAGTCATCATCGAGATGGGCGGTTGGCCCAACAACGTGCATCATCACTTCCCCACGCTGTAAACATAGTCCTCGCGCATTATCGCCCAACCCGCTCCTTATCACACCTAAAATTTCATCGAGCCGAGTCCTGAATAGTTCTACAATCGGATCGTTGGCAATAACCGTATTTTTGACAACTAAAACTCTCAAGACCACTGCCCGAGTATAGCCTCCGCCATGACTTCAGCATTCGAGCCTTCTTTGTCCTCCAGCGTCCATAGGCAATCCATGATGATGGCTCCAACTCAGTCCATCGCCGACACGCTGCCGAGCATCAACTTCGGCTTCGATGACCTGCGCGACAGGATGGCGAGATTTACGGCCAAATTCGACGCATTCATCGAGCAAGGAAGGAAGCGCGTTTTGGAGGAGAGGAACCAGTTCCGCATGAACATGGCTGAGCTACAAGGTACGGCTTGAGGAAAATCTCCATTCTATTGAACAGCGACCAAATGTGTTTGTCTACATTCTTTATTCGAGCTCTAACATTTCGGCACAACTACAGAGGACGAGCGCATGAAGCGCAAAGACATCGAAATCCTCGATCTCAAAACCTCAACCTACCAACAAACAATCGCCAAAGAAACCGCCGAAGCGCGCGAGATCCAATCGGCCATCGCCTCCCTCGCCGACCAGCGCGACAAGCACATCGAAAAGCGCGACGCCCTCAAGGCCCAGATCGCCGCGACGCAGCGCGAGATCGACGCGCGACTGGCGGCGCAGCGAGCCCACGCGCAGCAGCTCGAGGCTCAGGCTCGCTTCAATGTGCCTGAGCTCGATTTCTGGGTGTCGAATTTGTGTCTCAAGATTGAAGGGGCGGGTCACACGGATCACCTCAAGTTTGTGTATACACATATTGATGAGAAGGATTGGGAGAATGAGGCGTGGTTTGAGCTCGTGACGGCGTCGAGAGATTATGACGTTGGGAAGTGTAGGCCGAAGTTGGATAGGGAAAAGGTGGAGAGGGTTTTGGAGAAGATGAATGAGACGAGAGAGTTGGTGACGTTGTTGAAGGGGATGAGAGAGTTGTTTGTCGAGGCTATGAGGGCGTGAGAGAATGGTGGTGAGGGAGTATCGTGTAGCTCTTAATGGAGGGGATTGGTTACGACTTATGATATTTCTGTATTGGGTCTTGTTCATACCTTTTTTCGTATTGTAATTGTGAGAAATATCCCTCTGGTGTTGCGCTCTGATCTACGATTCCCTCGTTGCCCAAAGATGCGTGCATCAATCAATTAATCTCTAGATAAACAAGCACTCAAAACTACTTGTGCAACAGCGACGCGTCTTAACCCCACCACCCAAAACTCACCTCGACCCATCAACCAACTCATCCAACTCATCCAACTTATCCAACCCTCCCTCAACATCATCACCAAGAACCCATCCTCCCATCACAAACCCACCAGAAAAAAAGAAATGCCCCCCCAAAGCGAAAAAGCGACAGCGGACAAACGCGCCGCCGCCCAACAGGCCGTCGATATCCTCCACGAAATCTCCACCATACTAGTCCGTTCGTCCCCGTTTCAGCAGCATCGAGAGAGAGAGAAGAAGACGAGCTGACTTGCTGTGATCCGCGTTGTATAGAATTGCCATCTCGATGCTCGCACAATATCAATATGCGTTTCTATGATTGAGAATGGAGTGAATCCGGAGGCTCTCGCTGTAAGGGACTGACCATGAACACCGACGCTTTCCTTTTCCTTTCCTTATTTACCCTCATTCGCCGTCGGCATGATCTTGGATATGTACTGATATTTTCCTATACGCGTAAGACTGTGATTAAGGAGTTACGACTGGAGGCACAGGAAGTTCAGAGGGATATCGCGACGGGTCGTCCGACTTGACCCCCTACGATGCCAAAATTGGACGAGGTTGGCAAAGGCCGTTTTTAATGGCAAGAAGAGCAAGTCCCAAGGCGATGCCGTAGCTTACTTGGCTGTTCTCAGAAAAATGATGATACCCTGAATTATAAATGGATCAAGACGTACTGCTCTCCGTGATTGTCTATTGACTATTCTGTAATGTGTAATCCTAACGATATGTGGTAAAACAATGTATAGCAAATACTATGAGGACAAGGTCTCATTAAAGGTACTACCTCGACCGACTCTATCGGAGGGAATGAGAGGAGACGAGAACTGAAGAAAAAAAAAAGGAACTGAAGAAAAAAAAAAAGGAAAAGAAAGCCATCTAACGCCGATGCCAATTTGTAAACATGTCATATCTCCCTGAACCTCCCAAGAAAAAGGACCCTCTTTGCTGCCTGGCCAAAGTGTTGAAAAAGAAAAGAAAGATCATATGTATATACCGTTCAACCCAATATCGCTATAATCCCTGCGCCTTGTGTGATAGCTGACCAAGTCCAGCAATGTCCGCTTCTAGTCGGAAAAGAAGACAATGAAAGCTAGAGATTACCTATGCCCAATAAGAAGTATGTCATCATCAGAATCTTCGTCGTCCTCTTCCTCTTCGTTGAGATCTGGAAGGGAATCACTATCATCATAATAGGAGCCGGGGTCGTCGTCGTCACTATAGGCCGCGCCATTGCCTCCATCTCTTGACCAGAAGCCGAGCATGTCTTCGCCTAAGTCATCTTCTGCCGTGCCGCTGGCCGCTGCAATCGGAATTTCCATCCCATGGCCTGGCGACAAGGACCGTGCGAGCCTCGGATCAATCGCATACCTAATTTCTTGGTCATGCGACGAGTATCGCCTCCTAACTGCCATCGCCCCGGTGGCTTGCTCCGTAGATGACTCGCCGTTGCCTTCTTGACCTGCCGCTAGCAGTGCCTGCGACTGCGCCGGGGTTGCAACGTCTTGCCTTGCCTGCGCATCAGGCGCATTTGGAACGGGGTGGTGGGAATTTCCACCCAAGATCTGCAGCTCGACCGTGTTGTAAGAGTGGCAAATCATGCATTTTAGACCGAGCCAGTGATATTTGGTCGTGCTCTTCGCGCAGCAGTCGTTGCACAGCACAGTTGCTTTCGTATCTTGAAATTCCGGCGGCATCGGCTGGCTCTGGATGGCAGCATCGAGGTTGCGGAACTGGGACTCCATATTTCGGAAGGCCTTGTTGCAAATGGGGCATTTGTAGGACGTCTTCCCATACTCCTGGTAGCATTTCTTGTGGATGCTGTGCCCACAGGGCATGAAAATTAGAGGTTTCGGCGAGGTAAACATGTACTCGCCGCAAATAGGGCAGTTGCAATCTGTTGACCGCTCTATGCACTTATGTGACCCTAAGGTGGCAATTGATATACAGGCGCAACACGTCTGGGTATCAACAAGTATGAGTTAGCTTGGTAAGGAGAATATGGAGAATGAAAGTCGAGTAATGTCCGGGAACTAGATGTCTGGCGGGAACGGACGTAACGTACCTTGCAGTGGAAGAAATCCTTCCCCAGACCTATGCCCCGTCGACAAATGCCGCAGTCATTGCAGTGATAGATGTTCTTCAACGGATGGTCGTCCCAGAATTTGCAAATGTTGCAGTAATACCTCGCCGCCGTCGCTCCGCAGTTGATGCAGGTATCTGAAGCGCGCTGGGGGCAGGCGCACAGCATGCATAGCATGTTCTTAGTATCCTTCCGAATGAGAGCATGATCTTCCGCCGCATCGTGGCAGAACCGGCACGAATACCACTTGTGGCAGGTTGAGCATTGCGGCTTGACATTTCGTCGGTAGTGTTGGCATCCCAGTATGGTCGTGGATACCTGACCCTCGACTACTGCGTAGGTCGGCTTCACGTCGTCGGCGGTAAGGATAAACTTTTCGGATGGCGAGACTTCTCCGAGCGGGTGTTGCCAGAACTTGAGCGCATCGAGGGGGCTGAGAGCTAAAGACTGCTCCCAGGCTTCTCCGGCAGGGATGGGACGCGGCGGAGACACAGACTCTCCGTCTTTGCCCTGGCGCTGCGAGTTCCGATATCCCTCCATTAAGGCATCATGCATGAGCCTCGCCTTCTCAACCGAGGGGACGTCCATGGACTGAATTGTGATTAGTCGCTGGCGGAGGCGACCCATCCCATCATCCTCGGGCAGGGGTTCGGAGACTGCCACAGGCATAGTGGCTGTGGCAGTTCCTGGCGTTTGATCCCGAGTGGGGGTGACTGGCGGCTCGGGGTACACCCACGGCCTAGCATCCTCAGTTTGCGGTGATTCCACACTCGTAGACTGCGTCGAAGAAGTTGCTGGGCGAGGAGTGGGAGGAGAGTCTACGATGGCGTGACTGTCGATAACTTGCGGCGGCGCACCTGGGCGAGGCGGTGTCGTCGTTGCATGGTTGTCTACGCGGGCCGGCTGCTCCGGAGCGGCTCGCGATATCTCGGAAAGTCGCCGGGCTTGTCGGAGAACGGGATTAATGATGAACTCAGACACGAGAGAGGACATCGGGTATGCTCCAGAGGGATTGGCGCTTGGACGGTGCAGGTGTCAAATGGGCATGCAAGAGGAGCATTTGCAAGGGCCAGAGAGAATACAAATGAATCGGGTGTGTGAGAGAAAGGAAAGTGTAGTTTAGATCGAAGAGACAAAGACCCGAGGAACGGGGAAACAATGAAGCAGGTGAGCACGAGAGGAGAAGAAAGAGTGGGGGCGGGGGAAGGGTAGGGGGCGAGGAGTGTTTGTAGGTTTCGAAATGAGTAGCACACGACGGGAATAGGGACGATATCACAACAGAATGAAGATCAACGATATGATCCGTTGGTGGTTCAATCTGTCGGTCGGGGTTGTCCTGAGGTTGATTGCATCATCCAAAGCCCAAAGTGGTGGCTACCCTGAACCAAGATGAAGACCGGAGAAAGCTTGGGGACGATGATGGCGATGGCAATGACAAGGGAAGGTATGAAGGGTCCAGGGAGGATGACATAAGACGAGGCCCGAGGAGAAAGATTGATGGAAAAGTACAATTGGACGGAGCTGGGACTGAGAGTTGGGGAAGTTGGAGATGAATGGACGACTTGCAACGTGAGCATGGAGCGAAAGTGAGCAACAGCGCGCGTGAGCCTGAGTTAGCGGCTTCCGGTGTGACCACACCAGTGCATCACTTGACAATTAGACCAGAATCGGCAAAATCGTCGGGGCAGAGAGGTCTCGATGTGCTCTTTCCTCTTACGAAGTGGCTGAAGAACCTTGCGTTCTAGCATGTGATGTGATGTGGACTTTGAGGTACCACTCTGATGGGCAGACGTACCCAATCAATTGATGCAATTAACCGTGGTTGATGATTTGACAACTGATCCGACTTCTTTCCACCATCAACTGTCAGAGGCTGAGACTGAGACAGACTCTGTCAAATGAGAAAAGTGCCACTATTGCATGTTTTAGAAGAGGAAACTTCATGCTCTTATTGCCTTTGGGTCCTGGATGTATGAAATGCGCAAGTCTGCATATATCTTTTACTTTGCATGTATGCATGGGCCGTACATCAGACATCACTTAATATTTGATGCTGATGCTGAAAGCGCACCGCTGCAGAATCAGGCCCTGGATCGGAGAGTGCAGAGACTAGTGTACCTGTGGACTAAGGTAGGCTTGGATTGTTCCCAATTGATGGGTCTGGACGCAAGGCTTTGGGTGGACCTCCCTGCTCAACAGGGTCCGCCCCAGTCCACGATCTGCTCCTAGCGGCCAGGCATCCATCAATTGATGCTTCTGGAGACCACACATCAGTTCCTTCGCAGGCTGGTTGGCGCGAAGCAAAGTTGATGTGGTCTGCGGTCTGTGTCCCAGCCAAGCTCCCATGACAGCCACAGATAACAGACAGGCGGGAGAGCTTGTAAGACCAAACATGAATTTGGTCTAACATGAGACACCGAGCTGTATCTAACTGACACAGTAATGTCGGTCCCTATCACGAAATCGACCCGGCGGACGGCAAGGGGAAAGGTTGCTGCTTGTCTTACCGTAGTGCTAGACCGCGAGTAACGGAGATCGTGAGCTCCTCGGCGGAATTGATGCTCTTGTCATCAATTGTTGGTTAGGGTTAAGGGTCTGTATTAATCTAGGTTGTTAACTTCGTGGTTCACAGCTAAGGGAATCCAATGTATCTAACAGCTTTTGCCCTTCCGAACCGGGCCCAAGGCCCTGGTGTCAATCTTCAATTCCATTTGGGTGACGGGAACAGAGACGATCAGGGGGCTGGGAGGGATGGGAAGCTGAATTAATTGAGCGCCAGCGCACTCAAAACGAATCGCCAAAGAGAAGAATGTTTCAATTGCGGCTGGGTGAGGTGGAACACAGCCTGGAGCTATCGAACCGGGCAAAACGGCATAGGTGGCATTAACTCTTCCCGGAACGCTAGGAAAATCAGCCCAGGTCGTATTAATCGAATCAATTTGCTCCCTCAGGGTTCCGCTTCCAGCGATTCCAGGGGTTGCGTCGTGGAGCTTGGCGTGGGTAGCTGGGATGTACAGGGACAAGAGTAGCCAAAAGAGATCCAGGGGCAATAGCTGTACCGATACATCTGAATTGATCTCCCACCTTGCGGTACTTTCCAGTACATCGTCGCTCACATATTTTCCTCTGTGGGGGAAGTACACAGACGCGCCAAACAATGTACTGGAACAGCACTAGTGTACCCGCATTTACGAGCTGGATCAAGCCTTCAATGTTCTAACACAATTTATTCTTAGAACATGCCAAAAAATCCCCCCCCATCGCCAAAACCCTGAAAGAGGGAAGGAAGCAGCCTCGACGTTATCCCCTTTCCTCCTTCGATATCCACTCAAGGGGTGGCACTTACGTCCTCTCGTCATTCTACCAACTTCATCTTTTCCAGGCGTCGGCTTTTCTTTCTTTATTCTTCTTAATTGATGAAAAAGGAACTTATTGATGCCTCATTTGGTTGACGCCGCGTAATACTCGCGTTTCCTTCTCTTCTACCTTTTTTCTTTCCAACATTTCTTTGAGTTCCTTGCGGCTCGTCCTGTCCCTATTTCCCCGAGCTCCAGTCCCGCATCCTTTCTTCGCCCACTCCTTCGCCGATCCCCAGCTGGGAGCTCTCGAACTCATCCTTCTTCCCACCAATACTACTTTAATTCGGGCGAGTACACACGACTGATCGATTTTTATTCTCGTTACATTTCCACCATGTCTGTGGACAAGGCCGTCGCCGCCTCCGGCGCTGACCTTGGAGATGGCTTGAGGAGGAGAGCCGTGCCTGGCCCTCAGGTCCCTCGTGCTGCTCCTCAGCCCGAAGATACCAAGAAGCTTGCCAAAAAGGTTCGCGACCCTCCAGAAGAGCTCTCTGTCAAATCCCATACCCTGACCGACCCTTGGTATACAGCAACCGTCCTTCTTGCAGACCCTGGACGAGTGGGAGGTCGTCATCGCCCCCATCTTATTTACCATTGTTGCAGCTTTTACTCGCCTTTGGAAGATTGGCATTAGCAACATCGTTACTTGGGACGAGGCCCAGTACGTCGAATCCAGTCTTGGAACCTTCTCTGCGATACTTGCTAACGAGCGTCGTCATCCTGCAGCTTCGGTAAATTCGGAAGTCACTACATTAAGCACGAATACTATTTGTATGCTGAAGCGACCACCCTGCACCCCAGCACTTTGCGTGCACCACTAAACACGAAAGGAGGGGGTTGTGTAACTAACTTCGCGTTTCCTCTCTAGCGATGTCCACCCTCCCCTCGGTAAAATGCTGATCGGCCTCTCTGGCGTCCTCGCCGGTTACAACGGTTCGTTCGAGTTCAAGTCCGGGGAGAAATACCCCGAAGATGTCAACTATGCCTTCATGCGCGCCTTCAATGCTCTTTTTGGCATCGTCTGCATCCCGATGGCCTACTATACCGCGCGAGAGCTTCATTTCAAGCGCGCCACTGTCTGGTTGATCACCCTGATGGTTCTTTGTGAGAACTCGTACACTACCATCAGCCGGTTCATCCTTCTCGACTCGATGCTTCTCTGCGGTACCTTTGCCACTGTCCTTTGCTGGGCCAAGTTCCATAATCAGCGCAACAACAGCTTCTCGCTAGAGTGGTTCTTTTGGCTTTTCATGACTGGCCTCAGCATCGGCTGTGTGTGCAGCGTCAAGCTCGTTGGCCTCTTCGTCACCGCGCTTGTCGGTCTATACACCGCCGAGGATCTTTGGAACAAGTTTGGGGACACCCGAATGCCCATCGTGAGTATCCCTCGCTCTCTCGCTGGCTCGAATATGATATCTTTTTTCGGATTGGACAGATCTGATGCGTTATGTTTTTCCAGACTACCCTCGGAGCCCACCTTATTGCGCGTGTCGTTGGCCTGATTATTGTGCCTTTGATCGTCTACCTCGTTTCGTTCTACCTCCACTTTGCGATTCTCGACCATAGCGGCCCCGGAGACGCCCAGATGAGCTCTCTCTTCCAGGCCAACCTTAAGGGCACCGACGTTGGAAAGAACAGTCCTCTTGAGATTGCCTATGGCTCGCGGGCCACGATCAAGAACATGGGCTATGGTGGCGGTCTTCTTCACTCCCATATCCAGACCTATCCCGACGGCTCTGGTCAGCAGCAGGTTACCTGCTACCACCACAAGGACTCGAACAACGACTGGTTCTTCTACCCCAACCGCAACGATGTGCCCTATGACGCCGAGGCCGACCTCCGATTCATTGGTGACGGCGATGTCATTCGTCTTCTCCACACTCAGACTGGACGCAACCTTCATTCGCACGAGGTAGCCGCGCCCGTCACTAAGGCCGACCGAGAAGTCTCCTGCTACGGCAACGTTACCGTCGGTGATGCTAAGGACCACTGGAAGATCGAGGTCGTTCGCGATGTAGCTTCCAGTGACCGTAGCCGAATCCGAACTCTGACCACCGCCTTCCGCCTGAGGCATGCTGTCCTTGGCTGCTATCTCCGCGCTGGCAATACCAACCTGCCACAGTGGGGTTTTAAGCAGATTGAGGTCACCTGCACCAAGGAAAACAACCCCCGCGATTCCTACACTCACTGGAATGTTGAGGCTCACTGGAACGATAAGCGTAAGTATCAAAAGAAAACCACAGGCAGCCTTTGTATCATTTGCACAGCTGCCATTACCTGCCTAACCTGCCTGCTGACTTATGATCTCTTTAGTTCCACCCAGTGATCCTGGTGTGTACAAGTCTCCATTCTTCCACGACTTCATTCACCTGAACGTTGCCATGATGACTTCCAACAATGCGCTTGTTCCCGACCCAGATAAGCAAGACGATCTTGCCTCGAAGTGGTGGCAGTGGCCCATCCTCAACGTTGGTCTGAGGATGTGCAGCTGGGACGACAAAGTAGTCAAGTACTTCCTGCTAGGCAACCCCCTCGTCTACTGGGGTTCGACGGCTAGTCTCGGCGTCTTCGGACTCGTCGTTGCCTGGTACTTGATCCGATGGCAGCGCGGATATAAGGAGCTGAGCCTAAAGGATATTGACCATATCCACTACGCCGGTATCTACCCTATTATCGGCTGGGTCCTCCATTATCTTCCCTCCGCCGTCATGGCTCGTGTGACCTACGTCCACCATTACTACCCAGCTCTGTATTTTGCCGTCTTGACATTCGGCTTCCTCGTCGACTGGTTCACCCGCAACAAGAACAAGACGTTGCAATACGCCATCTACGGCTTCCTCTACACCCTGACTATTGGACTCTACATCTACTTTATCCCCATCTGTTGGGGTATGACCGGTCCTAACCGAAACTACAAGTACATGAAGTGGTTCAACAACTGGCGAATTTCTGATTAAACAGGATTTTATTTGCCAAACATGGAGGAGGAGTGGATAAGATCCTAGTTTGACATCCTTTGGTTCTACACCAGGAAGATGTGCGCATTTAGACAAAAATGGACAGTCTATTAATGGAATGAGTTGATGAGAGTTGGATATTCTTCGTATGTCCTCGGATCTTGTGGGAAAGTTGGATTGGGACTTGAACGCTCTATTCTTATTGCCTCTTGTTCCTACCTCCCTACACCTTTTCTCTCTCCCTCCCTCCTCCCTCTTTCTTTCCTTGACTGCTTGACTCTCCGACTCTCACCATCTCTCCCCTCATATTTGTACGTTTAGGAATACAGGCGTGGACTAGGAAAGGGCAAGGATGTTTCCGCGGGCTCTTTTTTCTTGTGTTTCAAAAGATATCTTTTTTTTTTTTTTTCTTCTTCGTGTAAACTTTCTCTCTTCAGTTCCGTGTCATTGCATGTAGTAAGTCGTTCAGAAAGAAAAGAGATGGAAAAGGTGCAGGTGGATGATAAAAAGACAAGACGCTGTCAGGAGAATTTTGGGAAGAATCCCGAGTCACCATGCAAGATGAATGCCATTTGCTACAATTGTTGAACTTCTCCTAGCGTGCATGCGAGCGTGTCCTAGCTCTAAGCCGTGAATATTCCGTATGGGATTAATACTTCTACTGTTACCGCACAAGTATCTCCATATAACCTCGCCACTGTCCAACAGGGTAAAATACCAAACGGGATAAGAATACCGGCCACACAGACGGAGTTGGGGGTATTCGCGCACACACACACACACACCGATGGGGAGCTTGAAGCCTTTTCCGCTCTTCCGGCTGTTCCAAAATTGGCGCCGAAGTCATTAACGATTATAGTCAATATAGCGAGGTAGTATATGCGTCATCGCAGTTCGTACATAGACAAGAAAGATGAAATCAAAGGGCGATCATGTATCGCCAACCGCCGGGCATCGTCCCATCCCCCTTCGCCCTCCTTTCCCTCAACAGCAACCCGAAGAGCTCTGAGGCGGCCTCTTCAGTGGCACGCTCCGATTCCCACCAGCGCCAGGCCCCTTAACCCCCGACCTCCTATCATTCAAATCGTACTTCCCTGCCTGAATATTCTGGTATATCCTCTCGGCGACCCTCATAAACGCCTTCTCAACATTCTCCCCACTCTTCGCACTCGTCTCGACGTACTCCAACACACCATTCCGCCTCGCCCACTCCTCGGCCTCCTCGTGCGTGACCTCGCGCTTATTCTCGCCGTCGGCGCTAGATAGTGTCAAATCGGCCTTGTTGCCGACGAGGACGACGACGATGTCGGGTTCAGCGATCTGGCGGAGGTCGTTGAGCCAGTCGGTGACGTGGAGGAAGGTTTGTTTGCGGCAGAGGTCGAAGACGAGGAGGGCGCCGGAGGCGCCGCGGAAGTAGGAGCGGGTGACGGATTTGTAGGTTTCTTGGCCGGCGGTGTCCCAGAGGGAGAGTTTCATGTGTTTTTGGGGGCCGGTGGCTTCTGGGGGTGGTGGTTTACGCGGTGGTTCGGGGAGGCCGCCGGTGGTGTTGTCTGTGGAGGGTGGGGAGGAGGTGCCGTTGGCTTCGTCTGTTGTCGTTGAGGGTTTCTGGTCGGAGGAGGGTTGCGCTGTTGGGAGGAGGGAGGCGGGAGTGTGAGGAGGACCGACGGGCACGATGCGGGAGCCGAATTCGACGCCGATGGTGACGTCGTGGTGGGGGGAGAATCGGCCTTCGCAGAGGCGGATGGTGAGGCTGGATTTACCGCATCCTGAGTCTCCTATGCATACTAGTTTGGCGATGTAGTCCCAGGGAGGAGAGGACATGGGGGGTTGTTCGTTCGTTGTAAGTCGTTGGGATCGCGGAGGAGAGCTTGATATCGCGTGACGAGGAGCTCGGGCCGAGCGCGAAATGGGATCTCGAAGGATTGATGGGGCGCAGGTAAGGGCTCGTTTGACGTCGGTGAAACGAAAGAAGCGGGATGAAATAACTTGGACTTGATGAAGGCTTCAAAGAAACTGGTTCGGAGGAAGCGAGAAGAAGGCCCAAGGCTGGGAAGCGAGGTCAGAGTGGGCTCAGATAGCAATGGGTACCTGAGAGTGGCAGGGGGCTTTCGGGTGGTACACTGGTAGCTGGCGTCTGGAGTGTGCTTTTTTGGCTTGGTTCTGCTTCTTGTGTGCACATGCATTTTTTCGGCGTTGATTGCTGATTGCGAAAGCTACAAATGCAGTCCTAGAGCCGGAGTTAAACCGACCATAAAGTACTTACATAGTGGCAAAATTATGATAGTGTACCTTTGTACTTCGTGCAGAGTAATGTACTCAATTTGGGTACAGCACTTAGATTTGCAAAATAATCGACTCATCAGTCAATGGAGGCTGTCTTAATAGGCGCCTCATACCTTCCCCGACAGCCTTTCGGTTTAGAGCCAGAGAAAAATCGAGAAACCGCGTTTCCGACATTTCTGACGGTCCAATTTGCAGCAGTCGATCGCTGTAATCGAGACTCGAGAGCTGATGGATGGACGGACTCAGCACCAGAACGAGCCCCTGCGGTATTGCTTCAACTCTGCCCTTCAACGGTTCTCAGATGACATTGAACCACCAGGGTCTCCCTCGTAACGTCATTACGATTTGATGCGACCTCGGACTTCTTCACTTGATTCTTCGTCCTGCGATCTCCGAAGTAAACTACACGACCGTCAGCCATTGCTCACCGCCTGAGACTCCCATGCATCTTGAAGACTTCGTACCTGTTACGAAGTACTCCGTACATTGAATTGTAATGTAATTGTACGAAGTATCAGCCAGGCAGAACTTGAACAGTCACAGTCCACCTGATGATGTAAGGGCTGTGCTTTAGCATTACTCCGTGCTTTGTACCCCAAGAACTTCAAGTCATGACTGGTACTTGTGATACATCAATGATCCATGTCCTGTGCACTGTATTAGTATCAATTGTCAGGCAGCTGCTCGTCTTTCGTTTCTTCACCTCCAAATCCCAGAAGCTGCTCGTGTTTCCCCCAGCATTCCTCTCCAGAATTTATTTTCAGGAACCCATGCACTCTCTAGGCAGCCGATGATCTCGTCCTCTCCACAAAAGATCATAAACCTCTCCCCGATCAGAAACCTCCTCTTCCCGTGATAGGTCGTGACCAAGACCTTGACCACCGATCTTAGTCACCTGGCCGCCAGTCTTCCTCGCACACCTGCACTGCCAGTGTTTTGAGTATCTCCCAATCCGTTAAGAGCCATCCATCATTCGCCGCCAGCTCTTGTCACCCGCTCCCTCACTCAAACACACTACTCCGTACTCTACGCTACGCCTGCAACCTTTTCACCCGCATCCGCACCCGTCCCCATTTGATCCCCCTCTTCCCCCCCCACCTTGGAACTGATAACCTACCAAGAATTACGAAGTAGAACCCCAAATAACCTGGGCTGGGCGCTAGGCGGAAATCCGGACTGACTGGATGATCCTCACGTCTTCGTCTGCGTGACCTCCGATATCCACCATTGGCGACTGACATGAGCTCACTTTCCCCATTCTCCAAATCCAACAAATCCAAGGCAACTCGAAAATAGAACGAAAACGGAACCGGCCCTTTGTCTCCACCTTCAGATATTGTTCTCCTCCTTCCCAAATATCTTTCTTGGTGTTTTGGGAGGCTTGTGGAAATATCTGAAGGAGTCTAATCCTCCCCCGGACTTTACCATTACGACATGTTTTCGGAATGTGAGTAGCCTCAGAAGTGCCCAATCTCCCCGCACTCGAAGCAAATCAGTTTGTTTCGCTACTGTTCGGAAAACGTCTTGTTTCTTCTCGTCCCCTCCAATCTCTGACCGCATATTCTCTAGACGCATCGAAGTTCTTATCCCAGTCCCAGTCGCGCCTCTCCAACTTCGGTCAAGCTGATAACGACAGTGCCCCCTCTCGATATGCCCCCGACCGCTCTTCTCGACCGACCCGAAACTTAGGCCGCTCCTATTTTGGCAGGACTTACGGAAATCCATACCAGCAACAGGGCAGTAACTCCCGGTTCGGTCATGCATTCCGGTCAGGTATATCGGCTGCTCAGGATGCCCCCTTATTCGCCAGCACGAGGGACGAGTTTCGCGAGGAGGACGAAGAGGAGGAGCGCGATAGGGAGGCGGCCGATCTACTCGCCCTTCAGCAATCTCGCGCAGTGGCTGCAGGCAAACTAGAGGAGAGTATAGGGTCGGAAAACGAGGCCAGTAATGCGTCTCTCGACCGCAGCGCTGACGGGCCCTCGGAATACCAAACGCAACGATTCAGGCGGGGAATACGGAGCAGCTGGAACGGCGGCGGACAGAGCAGTCATGCGCAGTCGTCCAGGGCAGCAGGGAAAAATAGGTTCTCTTCGAATCAACCGATACCCAAGATTACACACGAAGACGCCGACTCGGACGATACAGGCGATAGTGCTAAGGGCAGGCTTGTCGATGTTGGCTTGGAATCTCAGATTGAGGATGACGACCCACCAGCGTCGCTTATTGGGGACACGCTCGACGACGTTGCTGGTAGCCCGCCACCCTTCCAACAGTTCCGTGACCGCCCAGATCGGAAATTTACCCTTCGCAGGGATTCTACCATAGAGAGCGATCTTGGCGAATCGAGGCGGAGCGTAGAGGACGACGGTAACGAAGCGGTCACGGTTACCACTACAGAAGGAGAACTGTTTCGATACGATCCTTTTTTCGCCTGGGCTTATTTGATTTTGCTCGCGAGCTTAATCTCCACGTACGTCCTTGTTTGGCTGCATACCGAAGCCCCTGACAGGAAACGACCCATCGGCGACACCATCTACTCGACCTTGCACGGTTCTTTCTACATGTTGGCCGTCGACACGTTAGTGGCGGTAATGGTGGCACTGCTATGGCTCGCAGCGCTGAGATCCTTTGTCCGACCACTCGTATCCCTCATCCTCGTCGCCGTGCCTGTAATCATGTTCTCCTTCTTCCTTTATCCTTTCATCTCTAGTTACAAGGGGACGACGCACGGAGCAAGCTTCCAGGACCGGGTGATGCGATGGGCCGCAATTGTACCGTTAGCAGGAGCCGTGATATGGGTCTACTGCGTGATCAAAGGGCGACACTCCATCCGGCAAGCGGTCGACATACTAGAATTTTCGAGCCGCATCTTGGGCGCGAACTCTGCGCTGGTGCTCGTCGGTCTAGCGTCACTCTTCACCGTCGTCGCGTTCACATGGATGTGGCTCGGCATGTTCTCCCGGGTGTTCCTGGGCGGGTACATGTCGAAGAGCCTAGCGAGGTACGTCATCAGCGTGTCGAGCTGGTGGCTAGGGGCGTGGTTCGTGTTTATGTACATGTGGACGATATCCGTCGTCACCGAAGTCCACAGGGCAACGACGGCGGCGACAGTATCGCAATGGTACTTCCACCGCAACGCGGTCCCGGCCCCGACGTCGCAAGAAATCGTCACGGCGGCGCTCAACCATGCGCTCACCACCATCTTCGGCAGCATCTGCCAATCCACGCTCCTCGCGCGCCTAGTTAGACTACCGCTCCTCATCCTCCCCTCCCGCATCTCGTACATTGCTCAGCGCATCGCCAACAGCTTTGTCCCGACGCCGGTGGTGGCCCTCACGAACCCCCTCACGATTACTTACTGCGCCATCCACTCTCAGAACCTGGCGGCCGCGGCCCGGGGTCTGAGCCAGATGGACTTTTTGTCGCCCCAGACGCCGACGGCGACGCTTACGCCGCGCGTGTTCGCGTCGCGCGAGGGCACGTCCAACGGGCTTGTGCCGTATCGGCTTGCTAAGATGGTGCTTTATGCGAGCCGGTTCATTCTCGCGACGGCCATGGGTTTCGCGGGTTGGGTGCTGACGGCTAAGAAGCTTGAGGTTACCTTGCCCGATGGCATGGGTATCCGGGGATCGGCATACGCGTATGTGGTCGGTATAGTGGCCAGTTTCATCGGTTACTCGGTCATGGGCTCGATGGAGAGTATTCTCAGCGGTATCGTTGATGCGGTGGTGATTTGCTATGGTAGCGAGAGGCGGATGGCGAGTGGAGGGGGTACGTATTGCATGGAGGCGGCATATCTGTTTGGTGAGAAGCGGAGGCGGAACCACTCAGATGACTACGTTTAGGGCTGGGATATGTCGAGGGATGAAGCCATTTTCCCCGTGGTTTTTGCTCTACATGGGGCGTCCAATGTGTTCTGAAGCCAGGCATGGCTCATTCATTTCAATACTGCTATTCTTGTGATTTACCTTGATTTCCTTTTCCTTTCACCTGTTTCTGCTTCATCTTCATTCTGGCGGCTTGCACTTTTCTCTGGAAGGATATCATTCCTGCGGGACCCTCGGAAAGCATAGAATGCGGATTTAGATGGATGTTTTGGGGATATGGAGCACATTACAAGGAATTGTTTCGGTTTAGCCCATTGAAAGTAAAAAAGGGGGCTTTCTCCAATCGCACCTTTTTCGAACTTGTTTTTTTTTTATCTCAAATGCATCATTCCCGATCTTATGCCAGAGCAGACTCCTCAGACTCCCCTGCCAAAGGTGGGGTTAGAGAGATTCCACAAAATGAGCCATGGCGTCGCTCGTCGGTTTAGGTGTTGGAGAGCTCTCGTTGAAACTAGGACAGGGCGTGGACACAGCCTGCGCACGTGAGGAGGTATGGAGGAATCAGAAAAACGGCAGGGCAGGCTGGGCAGGCTGGGCACCTCGACCGAAATTCCCCTCTTCTTCACTATTCCCTAATTAGGGACTTTGCTTTTCGCTCAGTTGCCTCTCTCCTATCCGAGACGAGAGATTTCGAAGGTCTATTTTTCCCCTCGCATTTACTCCGTTTCGTTGCAAATACTGGCCTTGCAGAAGACGCTTTCTAGATAAGGCCCTTGGTCTTGCTCGCCCGTGGTCTAGCTCACATTCGTCAGGCATAACCACTACTATCTACCCTACTTCAGCATTTCCTCAATTGATCCAACGCACCGAGGTACATTAGACAATGAAGAGGATCACAGATGCGATATTTCCGTCCTCGAAGCGAACTCGGACGGCCATTGCCTGGTCGGGAAGCGAGCAACCACAAGCGGGCCCCACCCTACCGAACCCGCGATGGCACCCCGACACTAACTCCCCGTCCGAGACCCCACCGGACCCCACCTTCCCGGATGGAGTGAAGGTCCTGCACGACTGCCCCGATGCCACAGTCGACATCTGCTTTGTCCACGGTCTGTCTGGCAACCGGGACAGCACATGGACTGCCAAGGGGCAGTCCACACCATGGCCGAAGACCCTTCTCCCGCCGAGGCTCGAGAAAGCTCGCATACTCACGTACGGCTACAACGCATACATAGTGCAAAAGTCTGTTGCTTCGTTAAATCGGCTGACCGACCACGCGACGAATCTTCTGAACGACTTGACGACGGATAGGGCCTCCTGTAATGCATCATGTCGTCCTCTCATCTTTGTCGCCCACAGCTTGGGCGGTCTTGTTTGTAAGGAGGTTATTCTGTCGTCTCGAAACAACCCGGAACCATATCTTCGCGACATATTCCATTGCACAAAAGGCATTATATTTATGGGCACTCCCCATAGGGGTTCCTGGATGGCCGACTGGGCCAAGATCCCGGTTTCTGCTATTAGCCTTGTCAAGTCTACCAACAAGTCGCTGTTGGAGATCTTGGGGACAAACAATGAACGCCTCGAGAGCATTCAAGACAACTTTTGGGAAATGGCGCGGGAACTGCGTGAAGGCGGCAGGCCTTTCGAGGTCACATGCTTCTTTGAGGAACTGCCTCTGGGCATGGGTGGGGTTGTCGTGCCCAAGCAATCCGCCACTCTTGAAAGTTATTCTCGCATGTCTATTCCTGCCAACCACAGTGACATGGTCAAGTTTGGCTCCGCAGATGAGATTGGATTCAAGAGATTGCTTGGAGTGCTGCGCAGATGGGAATCACAAGTCGGGCTGGACCCACTTTCATTACAAGATCGCCGGGGAGCCTTACTGGACTCGTTAAAATTCGCGGGGATCGATGCTCGACATGATAGTATCGAAGATGCACAGGACAAAACATGCGAGTGGCTGCTCGAGACCCCTGAGTATGTGGATTGGCTGGATCCCGAAAAGTTTGGCCAACATCGTGGCTTTTTGTATATCGACGGAAAGCCAGGTGCTGGGAAGTCTACCGTAATGAAATTCGCTTTCGACCTCTCAAAGGAGACCGCCACCGACCATGCAGCTGTCATTTCATTTTTCTTCCATGCAAGAGGCGACGACCTGGAAAAATCGCAGATTGGAATGTATAGATCACTTCTACATCAACTACTGACCAGACTGCCTGATCTTCAGAAATTGCTCGACAGCCCGGATCTTGACGTCCAAAGTCAAAGCAGCAGTCCCGCGTGGGACATTAAGACACTTCGTCGAGCGTTTTCCAATGCAATAGCAAAACTCGGCCAACGCCAGCTAACTTGCTTTATCGATGCCCTTGATGAGTGCGACCAGCACGAAGTTCAAGACGTGATAAACTCCTTCAAGGAGTTCGGGCAACGCGCTGTTGAAGCTGGATCTAAGCTCTACATATGTTTCTCAAGTCGCCGCTATCCGCTCATTCGTGTTCGGTATGGCCTGCGGCTGACTTTAGAGGATCAAACTGGCCATGCAGAAGCTATTGAAAAATATGTGCGAGAAAGGCTCGAAGTTGAGGAGGAGGACGGATACGTTGAGGATATTAGAACCAAGATTCTCCAGAAGGCAGGCCACATTTTCCTGTGGATTTTCTTGGTAGTCCACATCCTAAACGAGGAATTCAACAACGGCCGTATGTTTGCCGTGCGGAAAAGGCTAGAGGAAATTCCCGACAGGCTAAGCGATCTGCTTAAGGACATTCTAACGAGAGACAAGAACAACATGGCCGACCTTCGGCTTTGTATCCAGTGGATACTGTACGCCAAACGGCCGCTTAAGCGTGAAGAGTTCTATTTCGCAGTCGCGTCTGGGTTAAACGCAGATGAGAAGGTCGAATGGAACCGCCGCGAAATTACCCTCGACCGCATAGACCGATTTGTTCTAAGTTCCTCCAAGGGTCTCGCCGAAATTACTAGATCCAAAGATCGAACAGTTCAGTTCATCCACGAATCAGTAAGGGATTATCTCATTAAGGAGGGTGGCCTGCACTATCTTTGGCCAGGACTTGCAGAAGACTTCGAGAGCTTGAGTCATGATCGGCTGAAGAAGTGCTGTCAAACGCATATGCAGGCCGATATCTCTAGCTGTATGTCATCAGGTGAAGCACTTCCAAAAGCGAAAGATTTGCAACAGCTTGTGTCAGAAAAATTCCCGTTTCTCAGTTACGCAAGCGGCCACGTCCTCTACCACGCCAATGCAGCTGCGAGCGGGGTGCCTCAGGACGACTTCCTGGGAGAATTTTCTCTCGGGACGTGGATCAGCCTGAATAACATATTCGTGCGATATCCCTACAAGCCTCCTATCAACCTTCTATACATACTTGCAGAGAAGAACTTGGCAACGCTTATAAGGATATTGCGTCGGCACCATCCTAGGATCAATATTTCCGGAGGGCGACATTATTATCCTCTCTTCGCGGCCCTAAAACTCGGCCATCGTGATGCTGTTAAAGCACTCCTGGAACAGGAGACAAACTCTCGACAAGGTGATGACTTTCTCTCACAGCTGGAGTATGGATCAGATTTTACAGTCCCAGAGGGTAAGACACCAATCCTGTGGGCCCTAGATATGGGTTATATGGCTCTTGCTATGGCTTGGATTGCATCTATGGAGTTCGATATCGATTCCAAGGGTCCCTCCGACCGTACGCCGCTATCGGTTGCTGCCGAGAGAGGGTTAGAGGCCATCGTCAAGCTACTGCTCGAGACAGGCAAAGTCGACATTGACTTGAAGGATGGTCATGGCCGGACACCGCTATCGTGGGCTGCCACGAATGGGCACGAGGCCATTGTCAAGCTGCTGCTCGAGACAGGTGAGGTCGATGTCAACTCGAAGGAGAAGAAGCATAAGCAGTGGCAGTTATCAGCCCGGACACCGCTATCATTCGCCGCTGCAAATGGGCACGAGGCCGTTGTCAAGCTGCTGATTGGCACGGACGGGGTTGATGTTAGCGCGGGGGATAAGAAGGGCCGGACACCACTATCGTTTGCTGCTGAGAGAGGGCACGAGGCTATCGTTCAGCTGCTGCTTAGTATATCCATGGCCGGCGTCGACTCAAGGGATAAGAAGGGCTGGACGCCACTATCGTGGGCCGCTGCAAGTGGGCACGAATCTGTCGTCAAGCTGCTGCTCCTTGACATATACAAGGTCGACGTCGACTCAAAGGATAGAGATTGCCGGACGCCGCTATCGTGGGCCGCTGAAAATGGGCACGAATCTGTCGTCAAGCTACTGCTCAAAAAGGACAAAGTCAATGTCGACTCGAGGCATAAGTCGCATAATACATCGTCAGGCCGGACGCCACTGTCATATGCTGCTGAGAGAGGGCACGAAGGCGTCGTCAAGCTGCTGCTTGAGACAGGCAAGGTCGACGTCAACTCGTTGACTGGGGGGATAACTGCGGATGGACGCCGGACGCCACTATCGTTTGCCGCTGGGAGAGGCCATGAGGCTGTTATCAAGCTGCTGCTCAAGACAGGCAACATTGGCGTTGACTTGAAGGATAGTGGTGGTCAGACGCCGTTATCATGGGCTGCTGCAAATGGGCACGAGGCTGTTGTCAAGCTGCTGCTCGAGACAGGTAAGGCTGATGTCAACTTGTCAACTGGAGAGAGAATTGTGGGTGGACGCCGGACTCCATTATCATTTGCTGCTGAGAGAGGCCACGAGGCTGTCGTCGAGCTGCTGCTCGGGACAGACAACATTGACGTTGACTTGAAGGATAAGGATGGTCGGACGCCGCTATCGTGGGCTACTGAGAAAGGGCACAAGAATATCATCAAATTACTCGAGTCAGCGAAGGAGCATACTGCTTTTCATTCTCTTTTCAAGTTCTCTAATTTATAAAAGAAATATTAGAGGGATCTTTAGGAATAGTATAAATATGTCAATACATTTCTACTAGTACATCTATGACGGGGGTTGAAGGATGGGGGACGGGCTTGGGCTTGGGCGGGGTCTGGATGAGACGAGTGTGAAAATCACACCTGCTGGCATGTTCTGACCGAGCCCAGTTGCTTCCTAGAGGGTCTGGCATGCCAGGGGAAAGAACTGGTTGCTAGATGGAGAGATGAAGTCTGACGACGTCAACAACTGCATCCGCTCCGCTGGAGATGGTTGATTTTCTCGCTCTCAACTACACTCCTATGAACGCTTCTGTTTACAGGGTATCATTAGAGGAGAGGAATCCCCGAGGGGTGTCCAGTGTACAAGGGCGACATAGGCCGAACAATGCAACTGTATCGATGTTGTGGGATACGAAGGGGAGGGAGTCGTTTAAAGAGATTTAAAGAGAGTTTGGCATGTAGGAAGGTGAGCGAAGGGGGCGAGCTGTAGCGGGGCTGTCCGTTCTAGGTGCAGGACAGACGTTCCTGTCTGTCGTGTGCCTGTTAATGCTATGCTTTGATGCTCTCCAGTTGTGGCAATTCTGTGATTGGTTTAGATATGAGACTTCCGGAGTTGAGGGCTCCAGAGAATGCTAGGAATGTCGGGAGGAACGGTGATAAGAAGTTGCCCCGGCGTGGAATCGAAGACGTGCTTGGGAGGGAGGTGGTGCTTGATGTTCACCGAAAGACAGAAAGACCGAACAGACCACAGCCCACGCACGTGACAAAAAATGGAGGAATCAGAAAAAGGCATGCTCGACACCTCCATTATGAAGTGGATGTGGGTTGAGGGCCGAGGAAGAGTTGCCTTGCCTGTCATACCCCATCTGTCATCATACTACTTCGTAGCTTGCGACTATCCTGAACACTCGAGGACATTCCAAGTGCGGAGTGGCATTAGCAGGCAGCACGACCACAGTCACAAACAATTATTGGAAAGGTCTCGTGGTGAGGCGAAACGGCGAAACTAATCTAGTAGGGCAAAAAGAAGAAGACCCGCTCGTTTGCAATGGCTGTGCAACAAAGCTTGTGTGGATGACGAATTCCGGCCGGTTGCAAAGCCTCAGAGGGGAGTTTGGCCTCTTCTAGAAAACGCCACATAAAGAGGCTGCCTAGAAATGTGCCACTGAAAATGGTATGGTACGGCATGGCATGGCATTGGCATTGGCACCAAATGGGGTGTCTCGCTCGCTCGCTCGGAATCTAAAAGGCCGGGAGGGAGCTTGGCCACGCGTTTGAGCTGCCGAAGGAGGGGCTTGTTCCCACCTCATGGATGGGGATTGATGGGGGATCTACGCTAAGGTTGATGGGAACGGCGACAATGGAAAAGGGAGGCGGATTGATCTAGCGTATTGTACTGTACTACTCAAATACATGCCATACTCGATATGTAATAGCCATCTTCTGTTACAGTTTCCGACGTCAAAGGTGCAAGTGCGGGACAAACTGCCCGTACTTGTCCACATCCACCATTCCGGTTCGTAACACGCAACACGCAATACTTCGTCCACCCCTCCACCCCTCCATCCCTCCTTCCCTCCTTCCTCGATCTAGCAGGTCGATACTTTTTCTCCTTTTTATCTTTATCTTTCCCCAACCTTAAATCTTTTAGATTCAGGGTCCTTTCCATCTCTCCTTTTTTTTTTTATTCATTTCAAATCTAACCCACGCGATTTAAGAGACCTCGAGTCTCTCTGATCGCAAACGATCCAACCCACTTACGTCATCTCGTCGACACCTCATCTCCCATCTCTCATCGTCGCCGATTCAAGCCGCGCAAATGTCCGACTTTGCTCCTCCCCCCGGGCCTCCGCCCCCCAAGGCGCCTGAGGTGCCTCCTGGCTGGACCGCGCAATGGAACGATCAATACAAAGAATGGTAGGTTTTCTTCTCATTAACCCCCCCCTCTCTCTCTACCTCGTCCCCATCTCACGATGCGCCTACCCCGCCGTGATAACCGAAACCTCATGACCTTGGAAACCTCCCCCCATCTTGTCAATTCCCAATACAAGAATCTCTGAAAAAAGGCGCATACTAAACGACATCAAACTCTCAGGTTCTACGTAAACCTCCACACCAAACAATCCCAATGGGAAAAACCCACCGCCCCCGCCCTCCCCCAAGAAACCCGTCCACCCCCGGACGCCCCACCCGGCTACGCTCCCCCCGCAGACGGCACGCCACTCCCCAGCGACACCAAAATAAATCCTTACTTCAAGGACGGCAACGATGACCAGTCCTCGTCCTCCAAGAAGGCCCAGGAGGAGGAAGATGCGCGGTTAGCCCGCGAGCTGCAGGACCAGGAGAACGCGGCGCATAGAGCCGGTAGCAGCGGTGGACCGGGACAGGTGCCCGCACAGCAGAGTTATCTCCAGCATCAGTATCCTCCCGCCGCAGGGTCTCCGGGGCCGTATCAGCAGGGGCAGGATGCGACGAGGTCGAAGGGTAAGGGAGGATTCTTGGGGAAGTTGCTCGGCAAGGCCGGGAGCAAGGTAGGAGGAGGGTCGCATGGCGGTCAGCCCGCGCAGGGATACGGTGGTTATGGCGCCCCGCCAGGTGGTTCCTATCCTCCGCAGCACGGCGGATATGGTGGTCCGCAGGCGTATCCTCCCCAGGGAGGGTACGGGGCCCCGCCGCCTCCCCAGGGGTATGGATATGGACCGCAGCCTCCGTATGGGGGGTATCCGCCCTACGGCCAGCAGCCGGGATATTACCCGCAGCAGCAGCACGCTCCTAAGAAGAGTGGACCTGGTATGGGAGGCGTGGCCGCCGGTGCGGCGCTGGGTGTTGGTGCGGGGTTGATTGGTGGTGCGTTGGTTGCTGATGCGGTGAATGATGCGCAGCATGATGCCTATATGGACGGTTATGGTGAGTGCTAGATCCCTTGAGCCTTTTCCCTCCCATCTGGCGCTTTGGAATGTGAAGTGCTAACTACTCGGACTTGTGTAGCGGATGGACAGAATGATGACTTTGGTGGTGGTGATGATTTTGGAGGTGACTTCTGAGAGTAGGCCGAGGGTCTATTTTGGGGTTGCTGGGAGGGAAGACTGATGAGCTGGTGCACTCGTACATTCTTTTCTTTTCTTTTCCTTGACGCCTTCATGTTGTCTTGTTGCGTTCTAATGCTAGAATCATGGTAATGCGAAGTTGATATGTCCGTGATTGCCTCAAATTCAATGACCCGAATGATTCGCTGGGCACTCGCAGCGTTCCGACCAACATCTGTAGTATTCAAATTGTCGTCAATGTTTCCGAGATCATAGCCTTGAATATCAAGCGAGTGACAGTGCGGCCCATCAGCACGACGTTCCGGACAGGGTAGTCACAGATTCCCTATTAATAGACACATTAACGCAGCAGACGTACATCGAATGCAGACCCCTTCCTTCATCTGGAGCCAATCCAAGCCCTCACTGACATCATAGAACGAGAAACCGACCAAAACCATGGCCCTTTCTACCGCCTAACACCGCCATTCCCACCCCTACCGTTGCCCTCCTTCTTGTTCGTACCCGCCAAATACGCCGCCATATCAAAGTTACCCATCGGGTTCGCTCCGGGCTGCTGGCCGCCCAGGATGCTGTTCATCGGGTTGTTCCTCTGCCTCTCCTCGAACTCGGCCTTCATCTCGGGGTCCACTACGCATACATCGTTAGCAAGAACTTAACAAAGCTGAGAAAGCCGGGAAAGAGAAGGGGGAAACTCACTGTTATCGACAAGGTAAGGCATCCCAATAAACAACCCCATACTAACAAGGCCTAACAGAATCATAGGATTCTTGAGAATAGTGAAAACCGAGACTAAACATCCCACGCATTCTGGTTAGCAAAAAAAAGTCCCTCTTCACATACGCTCCTCACTTTCCAAGAGTTCAGATAAGGGAGAAATAATACTCACACTTCTGTCTCTCAACAAAATACTGCTTCCCCCCCAAAACCCTCACCTCAACCCTTCCCCCCTCCCCGACCCTTACCTCCCCCTTATTGTCCCACTCATTCCCCCTATACGTCTCCCAAGCCTGCACGACGGCCTTCCCCCCTTCGCCCTCGGCCACGTCGACCCTCACAGGCGAAAACGCGTACGTGGCGCAGTGCACGTCGGCGAGGTAGGATCCTTCGGACACGTTGCGGAAGACGAACTCGCCGGCGGGGGTTAGGTAGGCGGAGTGTTGCGCGCCGAGGGTGCTGAGGGTCGCGTGAGTGTTTGGGGGGAAGGTGGATTGGCCGCCGGAGGTGTGGTGGGAGGGGGAGATGTGGAGGGTTATTGTTAGGGCGGAGGAGAGGGGGAGGATAGATAGGAGGGATGGGAGGCGCATTTTTGTTGTGTGGTTTGGGGGAAGGGGATGGCTGTAGAAATCGAGAGTAGAATGGCTTTAATGATTTCGTCGCTTCGGTGGGCCTGGGTCGAGATAATGAGGAGGACGAGATCGGGAACGGGGTTGGAGATGCGCGTGTTGCTGTCGCCGTTGATGATGTGTAGTTGATTTTCGAAGGGAGCTGTTGATGCTGATGAGCTTCTGAGCGAGGATCGAGGCCTGGTCTGCGTCCTTGTTTCCAGTTGTTGGCTCAGGTCAACGGCAGACCCTGTTGGCGGCCCGGCCGGCTGCGGCCAGTTGGCCTGAGCTGCCGAGCCTCATGGCAGGCATTCGACATCTTGACTAATAGTCTTTTCCCCACGTGACTTTCCTTCCTGCTGTGCCACACCGCCTGCCCGTGACCAGGTTGCGGCCACGTCGTGACATGCAGGGACTGATTTCCAGTTACGAACCTCGACCCACTCATTCGCACTCTCGCTCAAGCAAAGAGGTGCGAAAGATTAGCTGAGACGAGAGAAAGGTCAGTGATAAGAACACCTCTCGGTGATAGTCATTCTTATAATCTCTAGAGAGGGGTATCCATCGATATTGATGAAGAGTGCAAAACATCAAATACACCTTCTCGCTCTATATGGAGATCACGTGATCTCGGTGAAGGATGCTGAAGAACGTCGTTTGACCCCAGAGGAACAGGATCAGACAGAGCGAACCGGCACAAATCGAGCCACATTTCATATTCCGAGCCGAACCATGCACAGTCCAGTCGTATCCAAGAATCCATTGATATATATCAGAAAAACTTCGTACCCAATCCACACACTTAGCCTGCTGGACTCCATGGGCAGCCTACCGACCTCGCATGGGTATCCAGCTCCACTCATCCTTTATCAGAGGAGCAGTCCTCTCAGGCAACTGCCAATTGTGGACCGGCAAATGTGGGGATTGATTCACTTATAGAACGGAACCATTAGTAGGTACTGGAGAGTCAAATTCCCCCATCCGTTTGTTCTAGCACAGTAGTATCCTCACGACCCGATACGGCCCAATGGTGCCTTTATACCCCTGATAGCGTCATCAAGCGCTTGAGAAAGAATTTGTGTCGAAGTGTCCTTTGCGCCAGCCGAGACGCCGAGGACCAAAAATCTCTCTCCAGTTGCGCCCTACACCTGCAGTGGTATCTCGCGAGCTTGGAATTGTATCCTGTAGGCTGAACAGAGGTATCCATTGTTGCCTCCAACAGTCGTTGTTTGCTGAAGGTCGACAGTTTCCAATGGGCCCCTGGAACATAATTATTACATCGGCCAACGCAAGAATGGATGAGAGAAAGGATTTCGATACCTTTTCCGGAGACAGCCAGCTAAACAAATCAGTTCCTCAATTTCGCGCGGTATGAGGCGAACCATATTTTGTCAATGCTGAGTGCAATTCGGTCAGCCTGGTACAGTATCCCTGCCAAGTCATCACTCCATATGGCTTCGAGAGTATATTAAATGCCACTGTAAAGAGGGAGTGTGCGACCTTATTAAGGCCCGGCCATTGCTCACACAGAGAGGGTCACTTGCCTCCATTTGAGGGCGTTACAGACGTCGGTTTCGTGAATAGCTGTACGGCGTCCATGTTGTTGGGTAACATGTTGCTCCGCAGACAGGAGCGACGCGATGAGAGGGACAACCAGACCCCACAAGGCCGAAGCTCTATCACGTGTTTATGAGGTCCGGTTGGGGGCGAATCAGAAAACGGAAGCTCCGACAGCGACATATGGATCTCTCGAGGTAATTTGAGTAGTGTGTAATGAGCTGGAGTCATTCTCGTGGTTGTTGGTTACAAAAGGCGACTCATTAGAAGAGAAGCGTCCTAAAAATGTCGAGCAATTCATCCTCGCAACCCCACTATACTCTATATACACTTTGTAGACATGGCAAATTATATCGAGTGGGAGCAAAACGAAGGCCCCCCCGGCGCAAGCCCACGGGCTCAGCTGGCTTATGCCCAGCTGAGGTGGCTCGGTTCTGAAGAAGGAAGGGGAAATCGATGAGAGCAACTCACGCGTAATGCAAGATGCTGATGCATAGCCGAACGGGTCATCGGGCTACATGGTGATGACATGGTACTGCACCCAATCTAGTTCCGGGGAATACGAGATTGTCTGTGTGGCCCGAAACGAGTTATCTGGGGAAATTCCATCGAGCAAGCAGTGTGAGTCTAAGTACATAACGGCTCGGTAGTAACGCAGGAGCTACTTGATCTGAAAGCTCCAAACGGCGAAACAAGATAGCGACTCAAACGTCTGTGCAACCCAGTTGTTACAATCCTAACACTAGCCCATTGACAGTATCAGGTGGATACAACTGGTGACAGGATTAAGGTAGTTATCTGTTAGTGGTAGAGTAAGGCAGTCAAGCAGTGTTCACAAGATATAGGTGAGAAGTGTATATTTAAGTATAGGGGTGTCATTATACTTAAATTAACTACTAGGGAGTCTTAAAAGATAAACTAGATATATAGTAGAACTTATAGTTTATATAGACATTTCCTTTCTAAGCTCCCCCAAGGTTAGTTATACTTCTAATTAACTAGTTAGTTAGTTATAAATATAACTATCTTATTAAACTTCTATTTAACTAATTAATTAGACTTAGTTCTATTTAACTCCTTTATTATATAATCTATTATTTTATAGTACTATACTACTTTCTTATAACTTAATTATAATTATATTATAATATAATGTTCCCCCTCCCTTGGTCTTTATCTTTAAAGACTTATTAGTTATAATAATCTTATTTTTCTTCTTTCTTCCTTAGTAAGTTCTTTTTATTTCTTCTCCTAATTATATCTAATTATATTTTTAAATCTTATTTCCTTAGTATAGTTATTTTTAAAATTAATTATAATTACTTTACTTAAATAATTAATAATATTTTTTCTTAATAGTATTGGGATATTACCCGCAGCNGCAGTCAAGCAGTGTTCACAAGATATAGGTGAGAAGTGTATATTTAAGTATAGGGGTGTCATTATACTTAAATTAACTACTAGGGAGTCTTAAAAGATAAACTAGATATATAGTAGAACTTATAGTTTATATAGACATTTCCTTTCTAAGCTCCCCCAAGGTTAGTTATACTTCTAATTAACTAGTTAGTTAGTTATAAATATAACTATCTTATTAAACTTCTATTTAACTAATTAATTAGACTTAGTTCTATTTAACTCCTTTATTATATAATCTATTATTTTATAGTACTATACTACTTTCTTATAACTTAATTATAATTATATTATAATATAATGTTCCCCCTCCCTTGGTCTTTATCTTTAAAGACTTATTAGTTATAATAATCTTATTTTTCTTCTTTCTTCCTTAGTAAGTTCTTTTTATTTCTTCTCCTAATTATATCTAATTATATTTTTAAATCTTATTTCCTTAGTATAGTTATTTTTAAAATTAATTATAATTACTTTACTTAAATAATTAATAATATTTTTTCTTAATAGTATTTCTTTAAGATATCTAAATATATTTTTTACTATAATATATAAGTCTTTTAAGATTATATTATCTATAAGAGGTAGTTTTAGTATAACTTATATATTTACTTAAAGTATATTAATTATAATATTAGTAATATTAATAATTCTATATATAAGTTTTCTAATCCCTTCTTTTTATTTTCTAGTTCTAATATTATTTCTACTTAGTTAACTATTTAGAGTAAGAATAATCTTACTTAGAATAGGAGAAATATAAGGTAGAGGAGGCTTTTAAAAAAATTATTAATATTTAATAAGCTATATTTTTCTAAATCTATTAGTTATATTAGGAGGAGAAATTATATAAAAAATAAGCTTTAGAAGTTATTTATTTAGAAATAGAGTAGGTTACTAAGAAGGATATTACTAAGAATACTATATTTACTATTTCTAAGTTAGAGATTAATTAGAGCTTGTTTTTAGATCTACTACTATTAGATCCCTTAGTTTTTTTAAATATTTCTAGTAGAATATAGTAAGAAGTTACTAGCTTTCTATTAAATATTTAATAAGTTCTTAAGTATTTTTACTATATTTAAAATTTTTCTATTTAATTAAGTACTTAACTTTTCTATTATTATTATTTATTAAGTTAAAAATTTTATTAATATCCTAAATATCTTCTTTAAGTTTAATTATAATAGATTCTTCTATAGGTATATTATTATATATTAGTTTAAATAATATTATATAAAATATTAAGTACTTCTTTATTTTTTCTAGTAGTTCTAGCTTATAGTTAATTTTTAAAACTTTTTATTTAATTAGAAATAATTTTAATTTTTTATAATCTAGTTTATTACTTAGTTATATAATTTTAATCTAGAGGTTCTTAGTTCCTAGTTTCTTTTATAATAATTAGACCTTACTTTCCCTCTTAAGAATTAGTTCTTTAACCTATTTCTAATCTATATAGTATTTTATTTACTATTAAATAAACTATAGTTCTTCTACTAATTACTTATAAAGTTCTTTTATTTTATTTACTATAAAAATAGCTTATTTAATTTAGGTCTTAATTTCTATTAGTTTAAATCTTACTTAGGGTTTAATATTATAATTAGTATAAAATAGTAATATCTTTATATTTTCTAATATATTAATATTATAAGCTCTCTAGGCTAGGGGTAATAGTAATACCTAATTATCTTATTTCTAGTTAATATAATACCTTAAATATATTTCTAGTATTTAGTTTATTTATTTAACTTATTTTTATATTTTTAAGTAATATATTATAAATAGTTTATAATTAATTCTTATTTTATCTAATAAACTTTACTAAAACTTAAAGATAAATAATCCCCCTCTATTAGAGTTGATTTCTTCTAGTAGGTTATAGTTTACTATTACTATTTATAGAAATAGTTTAGTAAACTATAATACTTTTATTACTTTATTATAAAATATAAAGTAGATATACTTTATAAGTTAGTCTACTATTATTATAATACTATTATATTTAA